CAGAAACTCTTTTATTGTATTTTCAATTCATATGCATTTCGAACTGGTTTCATTTTCCAGTTCCTCTTCAGTGCTCTTCAATTACAATTACTGAATTATAATTACAGATATTGTGTTTACAAAAATTCAAAAAATTAAACATTGTAGAGATGTCAAATAACATAACGGAACACTTATTACTAGTACCTTTGAGAATTTTACACCCTTCTTTTTTCCGAGTTACATTCATACGGTACTTGTATTTATCACATGAAATTATCTTTCTTGGTATAAAACGTAATATGTTTAAACCATTTCTATAAATAATAGTAATACAATTATAAAACCTATTTACAAAATAATAAATACAGTAGAGCCTCGATTATCCGACTCAATTTTTCCTCTTAACGGTAATTATGTGTGTAAAACTTAATATAATGTAAATATTGCTAAAAAATAAAAGTTCAATTATAAACTCAGTGAATTTTTTTTTTACAAAAAAATATACATAGAAGTTTTTTCTCTCTTTCCAATGTCATTTAAAAAAAATATATTCTATTAAACAGTAGTTATGTGTGGTATAAATTCATCAATAGTAATTCATACACAATAACTTGGACACTCATATAACACTTGGTGTTTATGTTTTTACAAATAATTTACTTGTTTATTGTTACGCCCTCTATAATTTCATACCATTGTTTTTCATATATTTACAAGATTATTTTTATTATGTTTTATGATTTCAATATGTTCTTTAAATTTTCTTTTATATATATTTTTCTCACTGTGTAGGATTTTAATATTATTTCTATCAATATTACAATTACTATTTTTAATATGGTTATACCAAGGAGAGTTGTTATATTTTAGTCTAATGGCCGCTTTATGTTCTTTGATTCGTGTTTCTAAAGTTTGACCTGTTTCACCTATATAGTTTTTTGGATTTTGGCAATTACAGTTTATTTTATAGACAACGCCTGTTTTTTTCAATATATCACTATTAGTTTTATATGTTTTTGATTTATTAATGTGTATTTTCTGTGAAATTTTGTTGGTCAAAGTTGGTCTACCGAGAGAAGCATTTTCGGATTAAAGAGACAACCATTCACTGAATGAATATACAGCTACAATTAGTAAATTCAACATAATGTACTCTATATCATACCTCATTCAATTTTATGATTTTTACCTTCAGTTTGTTAACATTGTTTTTGAACTTTTAGATTATAAAACTATTAAAAATCCTACTTTATTGGAGTCGTTGGGCATTGTTAATTTAATGTACTTCTCGACCCAAGTACATTTTGACTGTCAAAATCCATTGCCAAGAGCACTGGTCTAGTGAGATCCAGTGCACTGTGGCATTTCAAAAATTGCTCCAGATGAGAAATATGGTAAATATTTTTCCACTATACATGGTAGAGGCCAAATGTTTTGGTCCTAACTATGTTTTAGATGTTATAGATATAAAACAATGATGTCATTTTTCAATATAGTTGTCTTGCAGTTCAACACACTTATTACATCTTGGAGTTCACATTTCAATACCCTTGAAAAAATAGTCTGCAGTTTTGTCTGCAAAATGCTCATAAATTGCCTCCTGCAACTCTTCGTCACTATTTTGAAGATCTTTTTTTGAGTTTTGGATACAGATAATCACCACTAAGAGCCGGATCCAGATCCAGTTTTAGGATTGATGGTCAAGTTCCTTGAACCCACACTCTCTTACAGCAGCCTTGGCAATGGCAGCTGTATGCACTGGGCTGCAATTTTTAATTTATTTACCAGGTGTATAAGCTTAAATCTGCTGTTTTTTAGTCAGAAAAACACACGTTTTTTTCATAGAAAGCAAAAACAAATTTATTCAAAGTACTTCCCCTCATTAGCAACACATTTTTTTCCATCTCTTGGGCAATGTGTGGATACCACACCAAAAAAAATTTCTTCTCTTTTGAGGCAAAGCACTCGTCAAGCCATTATTGGACGTCTTTGTAAGAATCAAAGTGCTGCTCAGCGAGTGTGTGGCCCATCGATGAAAACAGGTGATAGTCAGAAGGGGCCAGGTCTGGTGAATAAGCAGGATGGGTAGCACTCCCAGTTGAGTGTCTCCAAGTAGTTTTGAACCAATGTTAACGCTTGCAATGGTGTGTTGTGGAGGAAAATCAGCTTGTGTCTTTGCTGATAATCCGGCCTTTTTACATGCAGAGCACAGTGCAATTTGATCAGTTGTTGTTGGTAGCAGTAGGCATTGACAGTTTCACCAGGTTTCAACAGCTTATAGTAGATAATACCCTGCTGATCCCACCAAACACACAGCATTGTCTTCCATCTGAAGCGATTTGGTCTTGAGGATCTTGTTGGTCATGGAATTGTCTGGAAGTCAGAAGAATACCTTTAGCAATTTCCAGATAGTGGCAGCTTGATGTGGAGGGGTGTTATTCAGTTGAAACATGCCATCTCCTGCTGGGCACTTGAAGCTGATGAATGGTCATAGATGGTCAGTTAACTGAATCACATTACCAGATTTTGCCCGCTGACCATCTATAACCATTCTGGTAATAGATCAAAATCTGGTAATGTGATTCAGTTAAATGACCTTTCTAGATACACCATACCATTACAGAGCCACCTTTACTTGAATAGGGTCAACCTGACCATGACTTCATGCTGTTGACACCACACCTTCAGCCATCTAGCCACCTGGTAAATCTAGAAACATGATTCGTTGGCCCATTTGTTGCTAAGTTGCTAAGTGTTGTATACAAGGAGTCTGTTGCTTAGGTCCGTACTAGCCACGAGTGATGTGCAGTCAACAGTGGCACCCAGGTAGGGTGATGACCATTGTAGCAAGGTTTACACCATGAATATTGCACTATTTGTACACATTGTAGTGGATCAGATTAGAGTCTAATGTCTCTCACAATCTAGGATAGTCTACACCCACCATGGTCATCAGTAGCTTGTGGCCTGTCTCCATTTGCTTACCAAGCACTGGTCCATACCAGTGCTTGGTGATATTGCAGCATATTTCATGGTATACCAACAATACATTCTTGATACTGTTGCCTTCAAAAATCTAGAGTTGCTTCCAATTGGGAAAATGAATATCCCATCTGCATAGCACCATCAATACATCCACAATCAAAGTTAGAAATATCAGCTTGTTTACTCCTCTTGGTCACTTTTTATGTAGTCACAAAGCTGAGATAGATGCTTATTTATATTATCAGAATGATTTGTATATACTCATCTGTACACAACAGGCAGAGTGGTGTATCCTCACTGCAACCTGACTCTGTTTTGTCCCATCAATCAAAATAAAATGTAGTATAGTGATGTTTGTAGCACTCAAAATGCTGTCAAATTGCAACTGCATTATTATAATTTGTAGTTCACCAAACAGCAATGTAAACAGACAGGAATGTCATACACAGTCTCTCATGTAACTATTCTACTGTGTTTTTGTATTACAACAACAGCCATAGACAATACATAAAGGAATGATGAATGAATATGGCCATGTTCTAATAAAACTATTTTATAGAACCAAAATTTGAATTTCATATATATATATTATATATATACAGTAATACCTCGACTTACGCTACCTGGAGTTATGCGATTTTCAAATCTCGTCGATTCGTTTTTTGTTTGAGCGCCACAAAACTCTCGATTACTCACTCCTCCCACACTATTGTTCAGCTTACATGTTCAGACATGTCGCGCAGAATCGACACATAGCTACAATTTATTTTGTGTTATTTATTTCTGTGTTTGTTATATCTACGGAGACTTGAGAGACACTATGTGGTGATTTCTTGTAACCGTAAATGAATCAAAAGATGAGATAAGATTAACGAGAACACTTATTAGCTTACATACATCCGATTTGGATTTTACACAAATTGCGAAATTATACCCCAACTTACACGAATTCAACTTACGCGGTTATTGCTCGGTCCCACCTATCGCGTAAGTTCAGGGTATTACTGTATGTTATAAAATATTATTACTATTAACTTTTTCAACCAGTTAAAAATGTGAAAAAAATTCTTAGATTGTGAGCTATAGTTTGCCAACTGTATTAAGTACTCATTTCTCATAGATTTCTAATTATTAAAATTATATCGTTCAAAAGTTAAAAATCTTTTTAAGTTTTGAACTGTAGTTTTAAAGTTAGTGTAAGAAATGTTTGTTTTGTGCTCATTATGAAAAGAACACTTCTCAAAACTTTGTTTGGGCCCAGATCATGGGTTGTTGAAAGAAAGAGATGAGGCCCAATGTATGCATATCAAAACCACTTACAAAAAATTTGTTAATTCTAACTGGATCTACAAACATGGATCCACAGCAATAGGCTGACACCTTCTTTACTGTTTCATCCATCTGGCCATCCGTGCACAATGCCAGGCCTTGCAAAACAGACTTCTTTCAAAAACTTTGCACACAATACAAAGTTTTTGAAAGAAGTGACATAAATTTTTGGCAAATACTTCAATTAACGAGCAATTATTTTTGTTTGGACCTCTCGGGCTTCCTTAGGCTTTGACAATTTCATTTTGATTGTTAAATGGTCTAATGATTTCATTCTGTTTTTATAGAAATCAACAAAAGTGTTTCAAGTGGAACAATTCATTTGTTAATTAAAATATTAAAAATTTGTAAAATTAGTACAAATGTTAATTTATATTCTGACATGTCTCTATATTGTTTTACATATAAATGAACAGGACAAATTGGAACATTGTCTGTTTTCATAAATGCCAGCTGTTTGTGCTGTGAATTGTATTTGTATCTATTGGAAAAATTGAGGTCGGAGGTGTAATTTGTAATGTTTAAAAATGTACTTTTTATATACTTAAATGTTCATTTATTATCTTTTCTTAGGTAAAATTAAATTATTTATTATTATTTTTTATAGAGTTTACTGCCAATACACAAATTATTAATATAATTATATATTATTATTTAAATTTGTTTATATTTAAAATCTTGACATTTTGTTTTCCTTCTTTCAGAAATATGGAATCAATTATAATTGTCTTCATAAAAAAGATCATTTTCCTTTTGATCGTCGAGCACTTTGGAAAAGTTTCTTCGTTTTACGTGCCGGGAGTCGCACCGGTCGAGTTTATGAAAAATCAGCCCATCGAAGTCAAAGCTGTAAAGATGACAAGCACGCAGACTCAGTTGCCTTACGATTACTATTCTCTTCCGGTGTGTCGGCCGAAAAATGGCACGATTTATAAATCTGAGAATCTCGGTAAGTTATTTTGTTTATTATGGCTTTGAATTTTTAAAACACTTGGTCTTTCAAAAAGAATGCTACCATTTTAAATTATTGTAATTATGTTAAACATCATCCAAGTTTCATATTTACCCATTACTGTTTCTCAGTATGTGTACCTCATGTTACATGGCACGCATCCAACCGATACTCAAATTCTTCCCGTGATTGCTACAGCATATCCATTGTTACTCCTTCTGTAGCAGCCACGAGTGATTCTGACTTTGCAGAACACAAAATGCCTACTCTATGGAAAGTCACTGTTTTTCTTTGTTGTGCTTTCTTTTGTAATAGACAAGGATACATTTGATTGCAGATGGGAGGCAAAACTCAGATGGTTACTCTGTAAATTGGTGTATCTCACATACTTCTTGGATAATATAAAATTATAGCTTTCATTTTGTAAGATTCTGTATTTATGATATTAACTTATAATATTTTTATTAAAAAGTAGGTCATTGACATTAAAATTGTTTACATGTTCAAAGAGTGATTAGTTTCAAAATTGAATTAAATATATTTAGTTCAGTTTTGAAATTAATTACTCTTTGAACATTCCTGTACACTAGAAAGCAATATATAAATTCATTTTAAAAATATACATAATTTTAAAACACACATAAGGACAAATACATTTGATGTTTTCCTAATATGTCTTGTTCAAACACAGTTACACATCAGCAGAGTTGACTTTTCTTTCAAAAGTGTCTGTAAAAAACAGTGATTTTGCTGACTTTTAACTTTGGTCCTATAGACAGAGATCTTTGTTTTTGTTTTTTTTTTTTTAAAGCTTGCCAATAATTGTGAAAAAATAGCCCGATTTAATTACGACAATTGTTTGGTTTATTATTACTTCTATCAAATTAATTACATAAAATGTTAAAGATTAATTTGTATTTTAATGTAATTTTATAATAGATTTAAAGAACTACGTGAATTCTTCTCTCTCTAAACACATTCAAAAAATGCTGTAACTGTTTTGTAGCTCATTGTTTTAATGTCTGTAAATACACATCTATAGATTTCTGAAGATGAAGCTGAAGATCTTTGAAAGCACTTAATGCAATACAATACTGAATTTTGCCTGTATGATTGGATAATGATAATTTTCCAACTGATATTGATATTTCCATCCATACACCGAAAGCTCAATGGTTTATAGAACAGGCATGGGCTAGTCTATTCATATTTATTACACTTTGGATTATTAAAGAGGCCATTAAACATTTACATGTTCTGGTTTAGAAGCACAAGTATTTCCAGTGTTTTTTCCACTGAAACAAGAGTTTGTCTGTGTAGATGTTTGCTACAGTACTAAATAACTATTCTGATGGGACAGTAGAAGTGTGCAAGTAGTCATTTTCTTGCCTGCTTGACTTTCACCACTATAGCATTTTCCCTTTTGAAACTATACATGGATTCTCTACCATCTTCAGTTTCCTACAGTCCCTAGATATATAGAATTGTACATTCTTTTGCACTGGCAAAACACTGCCTATTGGTCATTTTTTATGCCAGCTGGTTCAACTTTGTTTGTTATACTTTGTCTGTTCTGTTTAGATTAAAAATGTTGTGCTGTTGGATTTTCAAATTGCACCAAAAAAGGTTTTGAGTCATTAAAACTTCCTTGAGGACCCAAAAATTTGAAAAAAAGAGAGAAAGGTTACAAAATATAGGAAGAAAAGTATTCTATCAGATCAAACGTTTGTTGTTCCAAGATTATATTGTTGTTAAGCATGATAAACACACACAGACACAGTTTATTTGGTATTTGTTTATTGATGAACAAATGCATGAAGGCACACTTGGCTATAACCACAAAAGCATTTTTTTCGTTTGACAAATCATTTCATATTGTATGATAGCTCATTTTTACAGTTTAATCACTTCATCATCATTTCTTTTGTAATCATTGATATTTAGGGTATTAAAATGGATGATTAGTTTTACAAAAAGATATATTTCTTGAGACTATACATTCAGGATGAGTCATGTATAGTCTCATAGTCTCAAGAAATATATTTTTTTGTAAAAGTAAATTCATCCTGGCAAATTTTTTAAAAAGGATAATTAGTTATTGTTGGGTTGGTTGTTTTTGCACGTGTGAAAACCTAACAACTGGGGTTTGATCGGGGACCAGTCGGGTTATACCTACGTGTGGGTGCAAGATTCAGGGACATCTTTTGTTTGGGTCAGTTAGATGAGCAGGACGCCACCAGAGTCCAGTCCGACTGTTATAACCAACCAACTTAAAATTCTTTGTTAGATATTAAACAGGAATTTCGCAATTAGAGATCTTTACACTCTAAGATCATAACAGTTATAAAGAAGTGCTTTGTATCTGATTATCCTATAAATAGATCCTAAATTTTTCCTTTCCAAGTGTACTACACAAAATTTTGAAGTATTAAAAACTTTTTTGTCAAGTGAGTTAAAATTGTCATAAAAATTTCTGTTAAATTGGCTAAAATAATAAATTAATAATAATTTTAAACTACGGTTTTTTAATATATTAGTGTTTACAGCTTAGTATGACCATTGTCACGTTTTAATGCCCATCACAGCAAAATAGCTGAATGTAACCAAATATCCTACTCAGCTCTTTAAAATATTTAATGAATCATTAATGAATTTTGGTGCATCTGAAGATGGTCTATCATATTGGGTTCAAAATGTTAATGTTTGTTTAATAAACGTTTCTCTGCATCAGGTGTTTGATGATTCATTAAATAGCTGAATGTATTTTATTTAAAATTTTTAATTTTTCAAATAATTTATTGAGTGAAAGTATTCAATCATTTACATGAGATTTTAGATGTATAATAATATCTTTAATATGGTAATATTTTACATTTTTACTTTAATACGCTTTTTGTCTAATTTAAAATGTATTGGTGAGCTCTATAATGGCCTTTTTATTTCTAGATTTATCACACCATCATCAGACATAAGACTAACCTCAATATATCAATTTATTTGTAATAGTATGAGGAGGGAGTGTAAAATCCATACTATCACAAATAAATTGATATATTGAGGCTGATCTTATGTCTGATAATGGTGTGATAAGTCTAGAAATAAAAAGGCCATTATAGAGCTCACCAATACATTTTAATTTTTTTAATTGTTTAAAAAATTTATTTAGGCGAAGTACTTCGTGGCGATCGTATAGTCAATACACCTTACGAAGTTTACATGGCAGTTAACAGTGATTGTCGAGTGCTCTGCAACAAAGACAATTTAGTAACTTGGACAGAGAAACAATCCAGAACTGTTGCCCATCGTATTCAACATCAATATTCTGTCCATCTGTAAGTTATTTGTACTAATGAATTATTTTTAATCTAGTAAAATAATCACTATTTGAAAAAAATAGAAAAATTATGTAATAAGTTCTTACTATTTTAAAGCAACTGCTTATAAATCAAAAGCAAACAAAATATAATCAATCTTAGGGTCAGAATTTGGTATAAAATACTTTATTTAATAATTTTGATGGCATTTAAATGTAATAAATATGAATTTTCAACATTTTGATTGGCCAAACACTAAAAAAAATGCAAAGGAATAAAACTAGATTTATGTTTTTTTTTTTTTAATAATTGATGAAATTAAAAATTTAAAGAATCTTAAAGAATTAATTAACTTGTGGTTTTTAATGAAATGAAATAAATCGTGACACTCAACATCAAAAATATTATACACAATAGGTAGTTATTTTTTCTGATGTTAATGAATATAATCAGAAAAATAAAATTAAAACACATTAAAAGCTTTACACTGATACTTTTAAGAGTTTTCACATCTGTTATTCTCAGATAAATCCAAATATCAAATGACTCGTTACAGTTTGGAATTAATTACAGATCAGTTTGTAAAACTGAACATATGCAAGTATGTTAAGTATATTAATAAGCAAGTATTGAATAAATACACAAACATTGAAGTATATATAATTTTTAAATGATATTAAAATAATTTAAATGGCACTCAGGTAATCTTAATCAAAACTGAAACAAGAATACATGAAAATTTATAAATACAAATGAATGGTCTAAAGGAGGTAGGACACAGCTTAGCCAAAGACATCTAAACTAAAAATAACACCCAGCAGAACACAATAAAAGCTAAATCAAATAAGTAGCTTATAAAGGAATAGCCAATACTCAATGTTAGCTTGTCAACTAAAACAACATCAAAGATATGTAAAATGGCTAAACACACAACTGAGATAGCTAGAATAGTCGTATCATCTGTGTTTCAGTCTCTTTGGTTTCAACCAGAAATTATTCTACATATGGGAGGCATTATGCTTTGCCAGCAATGACTAGTGAAGCCATCCTAGATTAGAACTCAAGACATTGTATATTTCTTTATAAACTAATTAATTGAGGCCTAGGTTGCTTTTGTTGCATTCTGCCTGGTGGTATTTTTAATTTAGGTGACGCCATCTTTGACTTAGCTGTGCCTTTCTTGTTTTAGCACGTAAATTTCCAGGCATACTTGTTTCAGTTTTGGCTAAGACTGCTTGAGCACCTTTTAGATTATTGTAATTTTCTTTAAAAACTTATTTATATCTTAATGTTTGTGTATTTATTTGACATTTGTTTAAAATTATTTATACCTTAACATATCTGTATATATTCAGTTTTTCAAACTGATTTGTAATTAATTCCAAAGTGTAATAACCCATTCATTTCTTGAATGTATCTGAGGTTTATAGATATGAAAACTGTCAAAAGTACTAGTGTGAAACTTTTACTGTTTTAATTTTGTTGTTGTTTAGCATCAAAAAACAATGTTATTTATTATTTGAAATTGTTTATATAAGTATAAAAGAACTGTGCATCTCATAAAAAAACAAATCTTAATCAATCTCTTGTTGTTTGTACTTTTTAATAAATTATTTTATGACTGGCTAAGTTTTGAATATTTTTATAATATTGAAATAGTACAGTCAACCCCCCTATAACACTGTTGATAATTCCGTTTTATATGAATTCCATGTTGTACGAGTCACTTAGATTTTACAAATACATGTACCGGGCTGTGAACGGCTCATGTATTTGTAAAATCTAAGTGACTCGTACAACATGGAATTTATATAAAACGGAATTATCAACAGTGTTATAGGGGGTCGACTATATTAACACAAAAATTAGCTGTTTGTAAATGCAGTGAAACTTCTCTTATGCAATCATTCGAAATTACACAAAAAATGGTTGTTTTGGGAAGTAGTCTTCTAAAGCAAATATATTTTTTGACAGAATACAGTATTGTACTAACATAAACATATAAAAACTGTGATGTTGAAAATAAATACATCTTATTGACTTGCTAGCAATTATAAAGTAATGAGTGTAAAAAAGAATTATTTGCATCGTATGTACATTATAAATTATTCTGTACTGTACGATACAATACTCATCTTAGATGTAGAATAACAATAATTTTATATTTTAAATCATTAAAAATTGCATTAAAGAACATTTGAATTAATTAAACTAATGTATAAGATTGTTTTCATTACAGACTGGTCGATAATCTACCATGTGCGACAAAATTTGAAATGTTGGAAACTGGTCAACCCCAATATGAACATGGATATAAACTGGGTTTTGTAGAAGACGGAGTGGTAAAATATATTTTTCTTAATTAATACATTTTATAGTATACATATTTTAAATAATAATTATTTGTCGTTATTTCAGTCGTACATAAATAATCATCTAAAATTGATTTTAAAGTATCACGTTCAAACACCAGGGTAAGTTTATTTAAAAATGCTAGACTTCAAAGTTATTTTTATTTTAATCTCATATAATCTATTGTTAATATCTATAATCTTCTTCTACTTTTTAAAAGAAACATATTAATATTTGTTTTCTTTTTACATTATTAAAATTAAGTAAAGAATATATTTGGTAAGGAATATTAAATATATACACACTAAATACTGAAGGTCAGTTCCTGAAATAATGAACTTGAGTCTCAGGAATTTTTTTAAGATTTTAAAACTTGACAAAATATATTACATACATGTTTACAACTAACAGTTATTTTTTTTCTAGATCAGCATTTTTTAATCTTTTCACATCTACAGACCTGCAAAAACAGGAATAATATTTGATAAACTGGCAGAAGACTAAAGATAAATTTTCATAGATTTAAACTGCTTAGACATATATGACATACACAACTGTCATAACTGGTCATAACAATAAACTGATTACTGTGTATTGCAATGGTGTTGCTTTCCTTCACAAGTCAATCACTTGCTCTCGAGTTGAATGTGACTGCACTGCTATGGGAAGCAGTTTAATCACAATTCCTCTCATTAACCTGTCCTGTGTTATTCCTGACAATTCTTGGGGTCGTGACCTCAAGTGTTTGACCCGAGATATCTCGTTACAGTATCAGTACGTTTTTGGAACTAGATGTCACTAGTTGTTATAATTTTTATATTTATTATAATTTTTTAAAATATAAATTATAATTAATATTTAAAATATAAAATATACCAAATATAATTTTTACCAATACCAAAATATAATATTTTTGTTTTTATATTTATTAATATATCTATTTTGCTTGTGAAAAATAAAAAATAATTTCGGACGATAAAATAGCCACGATTACTTTTTTAAAAACACATAATTTTTGTTAGGCTTAATGTCGACAAAATTCAACATGGTGTCACAGGCAACGGAGAAAAATTTTAACATTGGATAGGTTAATGTGCATGTATTGCTTACATTAATTATTATAGTGTTAAACAATATTTTATCCTTACATATTTTTATCAGAATTTCAGGAAATATCACAGATAATGTAATTAAACATTATCCTAAACTTCCTCTATTTTTCTTTTCTGTACTTTTTCTTAAATTAGGTTGAAACTGAGATTATGGTATACATGTATGATTCATTTGAATTCCACTTAAAAAAAGATTATAATCAGTTTTTAGGCTAAAAAACATAGTAAGTTTACGAAAATTTTTAATAGACTGGCAGAATCCACAGACTGGTGCTGGTCCGCAAACTCAAAGTTGAAGAACGCTGTTCTTGGTGAATTAAAATTTTTATGTAAGCTACTGTGCATGCAAAAAGAACCCTAAGAGACTTTTGGCATGATTTTGACAACTGATTTTTTTTCACAGAATATTCTTAATGTAGCTCTCTAAAAGTTTACCATTTCATTCATAACATTTTTTTTAAAGTATTACCTTAAAAGAATATTATAGCAATGTAAGAGTAAACTCTAAAAATATTTCAAAATTTTAGAGTTTGTGATTTTTAAAACTAAAAATAACTTTATTTACAGAATCCTAATATGTATGTAATAATATGCAAAAGTCATTTTATAATCTTTTTTTCTTCATTTATATTAAAAAAATTTTAGTATTGGTCAGTTACATTTGTAATAACTTCAGAAAAAATATTTCAATAATTTTTGCTGAATATTATTGGCTGTCCTTAATGTTGTTCAAACAGACAAACCTAGTGGCAAGACCACATGGAAATATTGCGGAAGCAGTTTCTTTGCCATTCGTTTTACATTTTAGATCTTATTTTTATCTTAAAAACTATTTAATTGGATTTAATTTGTTGTAATTGTTTTGAAAATTCTGAACAGATTACAATTTCATATTCACCATTCATGGCTTTGGCCACTTGTTCAAAAATTTCATGACAATTTATCATTTCTTGTGCTGCTGTTTATATACAGGGTGGGAAAGAAAGTCCTTAACACCCCTGCTACAGAATATAAATGTATCCAAAGTTAATTCTCTCATATCAGGAACACATTAGATCAAGGGGAAACAGATTGATGTGTGTTACATGCACAGCCATCATCTTGAATGCAACTCTACAACTGTAAATGGGAATGGGGTCTTGTGACACATTATTTAGGGTCAGAATTTCACAAGGAATCAATTGCTGAAAGATTTGATCTACCTCAAAGGGTTAGAGTTATGCACATTACATGATGTGCTCAATGTATATTCTTTGAGTACATCCTATATTCTGAAGAAAGGATGTTAAGTGACTTTCTTTCCCACCCTGTATTATTTTTTTCCCATAGTAGAGAAATGTTAGTGATGATTTTAAGCTAAATATTTTATACACACAGAACAGATATATCAGTCTAAAGTTACTTTTAAAAATAAAACTAAGACAATTTCCAGTATTTTCCAGGAAATATTCAACAATGTCTTCCATTCCCAGGAAATTTCAGAAATCCTACTTTGCATTCATAATTGCAGACATTTAAACATTTAAGCTGCTGCAAAACAATTGGTTAAGTTTATACCATAGTGTAGTTGATTTAATGTTCTTTATTAGAAAATTTTTAAATACTTTTCTGCATTTTTATATTCTGTAATTCATTTTAAATTAATACAGATTGCTACAAAACTGAAACATCATAACAGCAATATCTTCAAAATAGAAAAATTTGAAATTTTAAACAGTAGTGGAATTATAATAAAAGTAAATTTCTTAATTTTTAGGGAGAATTACAGAGTGGTTGGATTCGAAGTCGAAACCAAAAGGTCAGTTTTGATTTTTAAATACTAAGAAATTTTTCAGTTGCAAATTTTAAGCTTATATTAAAAATATATTAAATCTATCTGTAGTGTCGACTATACCGAAATAAAACGAGATAAAGCAAACAATGCAAAATGTACCATTCCAGAAAGACCCAAGAGGCAATCAATTAATCTTCAAGGTTGATATTTATTTATTTATTTTCTTTTTAAGAAAGAAAATTTATTTAATAAGTGCTTGATGAATCTAATTTTAGGAGAAACAAAGTTGTTATTTACTTATGAAGTTAAATGGGAAGAAAGTAATATTCGATGGGCGTCGAGATGGGATATTTATCTTGCTATGAGTGATGTGCAGATCCATTGGTTTTCTATTATCAATTCAGTTGTGGTCGTCTTCTTTCTTTCAGGTAAACAACTAAATTTCAATTTAAATGTATAATGCAGTTTATAGTGAAAATGATAGATTAAACAAGTTTTTAAATGTAGAAAATAAATTTAATTTGATTTTATAGGAATATTGACGATGATCATTATAAGGACATTAAGACGAGATATTGCCAGATACAATAAAGATGACGATTTGGTAAGAGACTTTCTCAGATATTTAATTTATATATATTAATGTTTTAATTACATATTAATAAAAATGTTTTATAGTTTAAAAAGTATACAAATTAATGAAAAACAAAATGAAATAAATAAAATGTATAACAAATTACATTAAAACTGTTTCATATATTATCTTTGATTAAATTATAGTAGAATATAATTTCATCAAAATTTAAGTAGAATTAAATTTTCAAATTGTGTTTTGGCTGTAATTTAAGTCAGTTAAACAATGTAATTTGGCTGAAAAATAGGCAGTAAGCCACCATCTTGCACTAAGATTAATTATCAGAATTAATTTTGAAATTTAATTTAATAATATACAAAATTTTAAGACTAATATTTCTGATAATACNAAAAATGTTGTGTAATATGGTCTTATACAAAAACATGATAGTTGGCACGGATACCATATGTAAATTCTGTTATCTTAGCAATAATTACTCTGTAATTATTTTCTTAGATTAATATATATACTCTTTGTAGGAAGATGCCATGGAAGAAACAGGATGGAAATTAGTGCATGGTGATGTTTTTCGACCACCAAGGTATCCAAAATTATTTGCTGCTGTAATTGGAAGTGGAATTCAGATATTTTTTATGACTTTTGTTACAATATGTAAGTTATTTCTTAGTAAGAAAATTTAATATAATTTCTTTATTACAATAAAAACTATTGTGTACCTTGTAGGCTTGTAGTAATGTTAAAAATACATTCAGTATTTATTGCTAGCTTGTTTGCAATCTTTAACAAATGTGATAATAAATAGTAGCAAAAATTACTATTTATCATTATAATCATCTATTCGGAACAAAATATAATTCTCGAAGGAATTTATATACATTGATTTAAAAAAACTATTTTAACAATTATAAATTCAAAGAAATATTAACATCATCACTAAACTGGTTTACTAGTTGAAACCAAATGATGTGCGAAATTATTGGACTATATAATAGTTCGATAATGTGGCTCTTCATTTGGATTTAACTCGAGAAATATAAAATTCATAATGTTTAATAAATAAAATGTCCTGTATAATTTATTAACATAGCTTCCATTTAGCTATGTATGCTATTAATTTTATTTTCAAAATATTAATATGTTCTGAAATATGATGGAAAATTCATGAAAACATTTTGGTAGGTTTCTTGTATTATGGTATTTTACAATTTAACACTTACTTAAATTTGATTATAAATTCTTAATTTAAAAAATTACAGTTTTAGAAATAAATTTCAGAAGTTTGAAAAAATCATTAAACCATAAATGTTATACTTCAAGGGTTTCATAAAATTGGGCTATTGGTTTCATCACAGATGGCATCAGAATTTGTGAAAATGGAATTAATTTCACTTTTTAAAATGGAAACCTTCATTTTTTTATTGCATATTCTAATTCTATACAAAAAATAAATGACTGTTATCCAAAACATTTTTTCAAAGGAGAGACGTTTTATGCGGCAGCTACATCATGCGCACGAGTCCATGGATGTCTGTGATTTTCACTGAAAAAAGGATGAAAAATGCTAGAAAAGTTGTTAGGAAGCTACTATTATTTGTTGAAATCAAGATCGACATTATTCTTTATCACAAGCTTTATGGCTTTAACATGCTTTGGCACTAGTTTTGTATCAGTTCATTATTTGAACAAAAAGAATGATTAAACCAAATACAGTAATAGTTGCCTTCTAACAACTTTTCTAGCATTTTTCTTTCTTTTTTTTCAGTGAAATTCAAACATCCATTGATTCATACATGTATAATGTGACTGCTGAATAAAACTTTAAATGCCCATAACTTCTGATTAGTGCATCTTTCAAAAATATGTTTTATATAGGTTTGTTTATTTTTTACGTAGAATCAGAATATGCAATAAAAAGTGATGTTTTCGATTAAATGAAATGCACATTTTAAATATAAATTAGCTGCAGGACCTTTATTACTGCTTTGCTTAAAAAATTATAAATAAGTTTACTCCATAATTGTTTTTGAAATGAGAGAGTAGTTTATAGAACCCATTATAAAATTTTATAAATTCTTAAAATATATGAGTTGATACTCGTGCATTTATTTAATATAAATGTGATTCTTTGTTGATTTGGAGTTGGTAAATATGTAAATTTCACTAATAAACTATGAAAAATATTTCAGAAATAAAATTTAATTTTTCAGTTTTTGCTATGTTGGGAATGCTGTCTCCAGCATCTAGAGGAGCACTAATGACTGCTGCCATATTTTTATATGTTTTTATGGGGTAAGTTTATATATCATCACTAAAATATATTTTATACATTAAAATATTATAATCGTATTTGCCAAATACAGAGAACTTTTTTAACTTAAAAATCTGCAATTTGAATATTTTTTTAACTCGAAGAAAATAAACCACTTAGTAGGTCTCAATGGAATAGCATAAGGATTTAATGTCTCCAACTTACATTTTTTCCAAATTGAAGGTTTTTATAGTGTTTTAAGTTTTCAACCTCTATGACTCAAATTTTAATATTTATTCTATCCAAAGTGATCCTAATTATTAGATTGCCATGAAATTTTCAGTTAGTTGTATCTACTGCCCCAACACCCATTTGAGATAAAAATCCAGTCCAGATTAAGAGGACTTCTTGCTTATTTGAACAAAATCTACATGCAAAACTGTTAGATTCTATTAATTACATTGAAAATTTTGCTAAAAGACATTACATGAACTGTTTAAAATAAGAAAACTAGCAAAGATTCTTTATATAATGCAAGAGAGATAAAAAGATATAAATCTATTCAAAATTGTCATATTTTTTACTGTGTTATCTAATCAAATTGTCTGTAACTCAGTTTTTTCATGCCTCTTGGAACTTTGAGTTAGAGAAATATTACTGTTTATTTCATATAAACAAAATGCATTCTTGGTATTATATTTATACAGAATATAGTAGAGCATTTTCATTTGATTAAAATACACACTAAGATATAAATTTACACTCAATCTGTCAGTGATTCATATCAACAACTGCATTTCAGATATATTAACTGGATTTAGTTTCATCCATTTTGTCTTACCTTTTACATCAGGAGTCGCCAAAGTGGTCAATATCGACCCCCGGGGCTTGATTATCAAGCTTAAGCTAAGGATCAAGCTTATCCATCTCACTGATTGTCAGTTACAAAAATTATTATTAACAAATATACAATACAGTAGAGCCTCGAAAACTCGGCACTCCGGATAACTCGGCCACACCCTGGCAGGGCAAAAAATCCTTAGTTAATTAATTTTCATGATAAAGACAGCTTTATGCCTCATAAAGTATTTTTCTGAGGTCTGTCTTATGAAGTAAATTACTGTACACAGTGTATTCATTAATTTTCATTTTCATGTAGTAAAGGCTCTATGCCTTCATAAAAGATGTACTTTTCCTTTGTTTAAGGGTATTTGGGCAGTTTATTCTCTGTTGTATTCTCAAGTAAACAATACATACAAGTACAGTACAGCATTTTCTGAGGAAACACTCATACTTATTTTTTTTAACCCCAATCCCGATAACCCGGCATTTTCACAAACTCGGCCATCCTTCGGTCCACATTAGTCCGAGTTTTCGAGGCTCTACTGTAAATGAAAAAAAATGCAAAATTAAAAGAAAGGTATTAAAATAGTAAGTACTTTGTTTTGCTTGTAACATAAACTTTTTGGTGGAGGTCAATGTGAGGTTTTGAAAACTTGTAGGGGGGTCAACAATCAAAAAAGCTTGGTGACCCTTGTTTTACATAATAATTTCCTGCTTGCTTATAGTTTCTTTGAAGATTGGCAAAATTTATAGATAATGTAAGAAACTTCAGATAATTATTCTTAAAGACATCTGAAACTTTATTAAAAATATTATTTTGTCAAACAATTTTTTCTTTTGGAGTGCTACATATAATTGTATCATACAGAAATGGTAAATGGTATTAAACTACATTCTTTATTTTCACAACAACTAGGTTTCTCATATGGAATTTTAGAAATAGTCATTTCAAAATAATATGTTCATAGTATTGATTTTATCAATTCACATGCAGTTAGGCAGTTGCTTGTTGGAATCGGATTCAAACAGTTAAATGCAAACATACTTATGTGTATCTGATATACAATAAAATCAATGAGTTAATTTTAATAATAATTCATAATTGTTATATGTTGTACATCATTAATAGTAATGAAAATAAAACTATATTACAGTATTAAATGCATAGAAGTAATCACAAAAGTGTCTTCTTTTAAATCTTAAAATCCTTTTCACACTTTGGGAACTAACTGTCTTTACAGCGGAGTCGACCTTCCTAAAGACAGTAAGTTCCCGAAGTGCGAAAAGGACGTTAAGATTTAAAAGAAGACGCTTTTGGATTACTTCTACACATTTAATATTGTAATGTATGAATTTTGTCCTGACATATTTTAATTATAGTTTTTAAAGCTATATTAATTTAATTAATTTTCAATTTTATTTTGTATAGATTACTTGCTGGATATTTCTCTGCACGTCTTTATAAAACATTAAAGGGATTGCAATGGAGAAAGGCTGCATTTTTGGTAAAATATGATCTGTTTGAGATTTTCATTACTTTTTAATTAAATTTTAAGTGTTCACAGATTTATAATAAAGGAAAATGTAAAACTTTCATTTTTGAAAATAAAATCCTAAAGAAGTTTTCAACCTTCTTCAGTAAGAATTAGTGTGAATCAGAGTTGTAATTCATTAGATTACCATTTTTGATTGTTAACACACTAACTGAAGTTGCATATATGGAAAGCATTATAATGTGAACAGTTACTGAAAGAATTGCATTATAATTGTACTCAGTCTAAGAAAGGATGTAATTCTTTCATTATGGATCTATTATAGAACTGGACAAATACCAGATCATTAAGGTTTCTTAATTATTAAACAAGTTGTTTCAATGTCTGATGCTCATAAGATGCCATAAAAGTGAACAGTTTTTTTTTTTTTAATATAGCTTCTTTTCAATTAATAACATACTCGTTTAATGACTGTTCAGACTTAGACCAGTTCTCCCATGCAGGGAATCTGCTTTCTCAGTCTGAGTCTCAGGAATCCCCCTTTTTAATTGTAATCCCAGTTGATCAGGATTTGGTAACTAAAATATTAATCTGAATATCTTTTTTCTATGAATGAACTTTAATTTCTTGGTATATCATTTTTATAATTTTGTGCTGATTGTATTTTTATGTTCTGTAATATGTAAATAAAAACAAAGTTATCAAGTTGGAGTTCTTTTAGATCTTTTCTTTATCCAGAAAAAAATTTTTAAATAATGATTAAGCTTCTTATTTATTGACCAGTTCACTTAATGTCTTAGTCATAGGAACTGTTGTGAAGTAAGGAATGCCTGTATAATAAATAGTTGATGATCTAACTTTATATGCTATCATAATCATGTTGCAGGTTTTGTCACTTCAAGTCTTTTCGATATTTTAACTCTCTGAGGGATTGTTAACTTTGTTCACTTCCTCTTGCCAGCAACATCTTGTTTACTTACAATGAGATGATTGTAAGTCAATATAATAATTTATTAAGTTCAATAAAGTTTAGATAACACAATATAAAATTGTGGAATCACTGTACGTGTTGGATTTTAGTGAAGAACGGGATATTTAGTAATGAGAATTCAAAATGCTTGGAATGAGAACATTAGTTTCACAGAAGAAAAATTCTCTAATATTTATTGATTTTTGCATATTGGGATGAAATGCATTAACTTTCCTATCTTTCATCTTAAATATGTTTTAAATCTCTACAACTATGCTAATGTCAAAACATCCAGACTAGTGGGCAATCTGAATGTATAATTGTTTTTGTCAATTAACAAGTATTCCAAAGGTTTTGGTTTGAAGCAATTCTACTGTAATTAAACTAACAGAATTATTATTTTAAATTATATAAACATTTATTTATTTTTTATTTCAGACAGCAACCCTGTATCCTGGTATTGTGTTTGGAACATGTTTCTTCCTAAATTTTTTCATATGGGGAAAACAGTCTTCTGGAGCAGTATGTATATGAAGATTTACTACTGATGTCATTACCATATAATGACAATCAATATTTTTCTCAGGTTCCATTTACAACGATGTTAGCCCTACTCTGCATGTGGTTCGGAATTTCTCTACCTTTAGTTTATCTCGGATATTATTTCGGTTACCGTAAATATCCATACGAACATCCGGTGCGAACAAATCAGATTCCTAGACAAGTTCCAGAACAAGTTTGGTATATGAATCCTATTTTGTGGTAAGTTTGAGTTTTTTGTTGATAATTTTAACTCTATATTGAAAATATACTGTTTTTACACACAAAACAAAATTTAAGATGAAATTATTAAGCCAAATGACCACCAGATTACATTGGACTATTTTCCACAATTATATTTAATTTTTAAAAATTTATCACTAGAGGGAGAAATTAATTAAATATAATTGCGGAAAAGTAGCCAGATGTAATCTGGCGGTCATGGCTTATTACAAATTTATCAGGTTTTGTGATGTTTGTTTATGAAATTATTAAATTTATGTAAAGCTAAAACATGGATAATATCAAGAAATTACATTTTTGTAACAATAATTTCAAAAAATGTTAAAAACTTTTCGTAATATTTGAAAATTCGTAGTTTAATAACTTTTTGAGAAAGTTTTTCATTATAAAATTTATTCCTTAGCACTCTTATGGCTGGGATACTACCATTTGGAGCAATGTTTATAGAATTATTCTTCATATTCACAGTAAGAAATTTTTTAAGTTTTTATAAAGATGAAAATTATTATTTTTCAATGCTAACTAATTATCAAAAATTAAATCTGATTTTGAGATCTGATACTACTGATTTTCTGGCATCTCTCTTAATCCAGACAGAATTATAAGGTGGCAATTAAAATTTCCACAACTGCCAGACTTGTTCACCAAATGGCCAGAGATGGCATGCATTTGTGCAAATTTGCTCAGATTTTCTACAGTCAGTCAACCTTGTATTCTTGCAATTTTTAGTTCATTTTACTTACATTTAAACATACATATGGTTTCACAAAAAAGATGCATTAGTAGTATTAAATGTATACACCAGTCCACATTTAATGTACATTTAATTTAAGTTTCTAGCACACCATAATCCTTTGGAAATGTGAAGGCATATGATTAGTGGTCCTTGATGTACTGTTAAGTTGTTACATAACCTCAGTCAATCTGGCAAAACCATTAATCCAGAATGGCTTTGGAACTGAGCATGCCGGAAAATTGGTAGTCAACATAATTTAAAATTTGAAACAGAATAATTTCCTTTTACTTTGTTTTAATATGCCTTATGGTAATTTATAAGTTCAAGCATTTCTTAAATTTTTTCAGATAATTTAAAATGTTTTTTGTATACTTTCAGGCAATCTGGGAAAATCAATTTTATTATTTATTTGGCTTCTTATTCTTAGTTTTCATTATCCTCATTATATCTTGTTCCCAAATATCAATAGTAATGGTGTATTTCCAGCTATGTGGCGAGGTATATATTTTTTCTTTTTTACACTAATTTAAAATAAATTAGTTCAATAATCATACATTTCTAGCATCCAACATGTATTATGGAGTAAATAATGTTTTAAACGTTTTTAGGATTATCGCTGGTGGTGGCGATCTTTTATCGTGTCCGGAGGTTCTGCCGTTTATGTGTTTGCCTATGCCATTTTCTATTTTATTACTAAGGTATTCTGTCTGTTTAATTATATAGAAAAATTATTTATGTATCAATATTTCTTTTAGTTTAGCAGAATTAATAATTTAATTAACAAATAGAAAGTTTGAGAAAAAAACTAAGGCTGCTTTTGTGCTACTAGGCAACAATGACAAAAATCTGTTTTGTTTTTTTTTTTTTAGTTTGTCTTTGTCTATAAAGCATTCATACTAATTGTTACCTTTGCATTTTTGACACTGTCTCTCATTGCTCTAATGCCTTGGTTAAGATTTGTCATCTAATCTTTGTTGCAATGTATTGACCAAATGGCACAAACTCTTCATAATTCCCTACAATAACTAAGAGAACGGAGGAAACTCTCATCAAACAATTAAAAGACTTTATGATTTGGATAAAACTAGATACATTTAAGAAAATATAAAAGGAAATTTTTTTGAATTGCCTACTAAACACACAGAATTAACATTTTCAATTATTACTGTATTATTATTATTATATTGATAATAATCAATGTGGATTTGAGACAAAAATATTAATTCTTTAATGTGAAATAATTAATATTTTTGGCTTAAATTCATATTGTCAGCACATGTATAGAAATCTGGAGAATAGTGTGTGTTTGTGGGTGTAATGTAAATTGTTCATGTTTTAACAGTAGTATGTAATGGGCAATATGAATGCTTCAACAGTTAAGCAATGCTATAGAACATTGCCATTGCCAGTTATAATTTGTCGTTGTTGACTATGTAAACTCAGTCTAAGAGGCTGATTGCTTTGTTGTTATCAAATTAAAAATAGAAGAATGGCTTAATGTTTCCAAATACAAGGTTATACCTTTGAAGACTGGTCAATTTTAAAAATATTTTAAATGCAATCATTAAATTATCAATTGTCTTTCTTACAGTGAATAAATAATCAAAGAATCAAAGATAAACTATAATAATTTTGTTATGTTAACAGAATTATAATGAAGTAATAAATATTTAAAGCTGATTTTAAAAAATATTAACAGATAATAAGACAGGATTTTAAATTACATTGTTGATATATTTTTGGCTTGTCTCGTTTGATCGTCCAGTGATGCCTCTGCTAATTTTGCAACATTGAAAGGGATATTGCTGACAAGGCCCAAGAATAGGAGATCTAAACACAGAATTCTAAAATGTATTCATAAATTATATTATATTCTTTTGTCTCTAAAATTTATCCTTTTTTATTATTATTATTTTGTTCAAAACTGATCATAACAGGCCCATTTTTTCAGACATATTGAGCAAAAATTGTTAATTTAAAGAACTACAGTGGTGCCTCATATAACGTACATCTTGAATAACAGACACTGCAAACAACAGACTTTCCATTCAGCAGTTATGTGAGGTGAACAATGGACTTTCTGCGAACAAGTGCAAATGATGTTTTCACTTTTTTGCCATTGTCAATGAAAATCTGCTATTTTTATACTATATTAGTATTATTAGTATAACTAAAGTACAGAGCTCCCATTTAGCTTGCTTCCTTGTTTATTACGTACATCATCTCAGTGCAGGGTATTTACATTTATTTAAGTGTTGTGCAAATCATGGCTTCTAAAAAAACAGAAAAGTGATTTTAATTGAAACAAAGCAAGAAATCATCAGAAGGAGTGAAAGTTGACAAAAACTTCCTTGTCAAATGGGGAGAGGTTCAACAGTTTACCAACACTCATTATCCAAACAGAGCTGAGGCCAACAGGATCAATGATCTCTACATTGACACCCTTGTCCAGGCATGGCCAACATACGGCCTGCTGGCCAGATCCGGCCCCTCTAATGAATTTATGCAGCCCTTGACTAATCTTTGAATATTAGCTACTCAAGTCCAAATAGCTCAATGAAAAATTCTGATGCCTAAAAGAAAAAAAAGTCAACAACTCATTGTGCGTTTAGAGTTAACCCTCCATTACAAATCTCTTAAGTACAGCGTAAAATGTTGATAAAGTATGATAATGTGAAAAATGTATCTGTAATCTCTATGTGCAATTTAGTCACTACGGGGTGACTCCACAATGAGTTCTCGCACCACCTCAAAATCTTCCTAAGGCAGTCTCTGGTTCGGCCCGTGAAAAAAGTTCTCTTTCCAATTCGGCCCGGGGCAAAAACTGTTGTCCACCCCTGCCCTTGCCCGTCATTTCCAACAGGTGTTCAAGAAGAAGAGAGAAACAGACCACCTTGGACATGTTTTTCAAGAAGCCAACTGCCAAAAAACAAAGGATTGGAACAAGAGGAGTTGACCCTGCAAGCTCCAGTACCCTCTCCTGAATCTCACTCCAATTAAAAAACAATAAAAAGATGCAATGTGTAAAAAGTCTGTATCTGTATGAATGTGTGAAGAAAGTGATCCTCCACCTCTTCCTCACAACATTTGACTACCCGGCATAATTGGTGACTGCTCCATTTTCATTTTTTTTATGGTACAGTACAATTATTTTATGCTGCGAAACGAATAATATGTTTTAACATGTATTTCTACGGGAAAATGCATTTCGTATAACGGACTTTTCACTTAACGGACGTGCACCTGGAACGGATTAAGTATGTTATACGAGGCACCACTGTACTGTCAAAAAAAAAGAACTAGAACTATTAAACAAAAATAGGAGGAAATAAATAAATGTCACTTTTTTAAAATGAAAATTTCCAATATAATTCTGTTTGGTCCTGTACAAAATTACTGGTTAATACCCACTCTTTAACAAGTAGAAATTGAAGTGGACAATGTAACTTATAATAGTGCTGCTTCTATCAGTAAATTAAATTGGCATAAAATGTGGTTCTTGACATTGTATGCATGATGTTTGATTGTTGACCTAAGTGTATACACTGTGTATAACTGTGTGTATATATATACGCACACACAAATCCCTTGTATGTTGTCATATTACAGTGGCTTTTGGTTATGTGGGTTTATGGACTGCTTACCCTTACTCAAGTCACGGATGTGATGCACCATCCATGCCTTTGTTCTATTTCTTATCTTGTAAAAATCACATAGGTTTATGCCAAATATTTGTAATCTACTCTGTATGCAAAAAAATGAGTAATGCATAAAATATTTTTTCCTCTGGCTAAAAAAGCATAAAAATTGCATTTTAGGAAAATGACTGGATGAATCTGCAGAACTGCCAACTATACTGCATCCAAATACAGTCAATCATATGCATTTTCTTAAGCATTCACTCATTACATTTTTTTTCCTGCCAGTTTTCTCCGAATTCTTTTTTGATCATGTAACAATATTCAATAGATTTCATTGTGTACAGCCAGAAGTTCATAGTCATATTATTAATCCTTTTTGCAAATTTTAAGTAACATTTATTGGTGTATATATAATTCTATTAATTAATTAATCATTTGCACATATTTAAATATGCAAATAAATTTATTTAAAAAATATAAATTTCAGAATATTAATGGCAATCTTAATTTTTACTTTCTAGCTTGAAATCACAGAATTTGTCCCGACACTCTTGTATTTTGGTTACACACTGCTGATGGTACTCACGTTCTGGCTTCTGACGGGAACCATAGGTTTCTATGCCGCCTACGCCTTCGTTCGCAAGATATACGCAGCGGTGAAATTTGATTAAACATGGAGAATCCGCCTTTTTTTTTCACATGCGTACCTTTGCCGCACCGGGCTGTGCCTCGTGCTTCCAATAATTAATTGCAAGAAGACTCTTAGTAAAGGTTTCTTTTTCTCTCTCTATCTCTCTCTCTCTTTTTTTTAATTGTTTTGGATCAGAGTATGATTAGGCCTATTGTACATTACCAAGTATTAGAAGATTTTTGTGGATTTCTCATATTTCTTAACCATTAAAGAACATTTTGAGTTACATCATTGCACATATTTATCTTATTTAAGACGTCAGAAATTGGTAAGGATCGGAACAAAATATCCCAGAAAAGATTCTTGTGGTGGTGATGCAGACGTCTCTTATTTCCGAAATAATAATTTACAAGTTAGAATTTTAGAACGTAAAAATCCAAATGTGGTATTTAAAATCTAAGTTGACGTCGTGGACCAAAGCACTCCGAGTAATAATGCAAACTTCTTTTATATCCGAAAAACGACCTACGATTGGATAATTCACTTTAAAAAATGCTTTCCGTGACGTACGTCAGCCATTTGTAAACATCACGTTTTTTTCTTTTACATCAAATATGCTGTGAAGCGACTGCATCATTTTAAATTTGGCCTACAAAATTAAGTGTAACATATATTAATTTACATGCCAGTATCTCCAATATGTTAGTGTGTGAACGAGGATATAAATGATGTAAATAAGTGGCATACAATTTCGTTCCGTGCACGTGAAATAAAATTTATATAAATGTTTAACCACGTTCTAAAATTTTCATTCGACTTGCCACGTTGTAACGACGATTTATAATTTGTTTACCGGAAGCAAACATAATTTTAATGTACATAAATAAAACTTGCGTTTCTTTGTGCCGTTAATTACTTTACAGATTTTTTTAAACTTTGTTAATAAAGGTAACTGTCTAACCAATGACCGTAATTTTTTTTAATTTGTGAATTTATTTTAAAGGACATTCTCTGATGGAGAATTGTAAATTTTATGTACTTTTTCCGGACGAAATAAACACCAAAATTTTAAGAGAGTCTTGGTCTGTACGGTAGAAAGCTCATTTATCGTTAAACAAAATAAACTGTTTGCAATCTATGTGCAAGATCTGCAGACTTCCTTTGAGACTAATCTTGCAACGTTTTGATATTCCAAACAGATGCACTACTAAACAATTAATATATGTTAATTGTAAATGGAACAGTTTGCAATTTTTGTAACATTTTATACATCAAATTTCAAATTTATTAGAAGACTGTCTGTTGACAAGTCTTCGAATAAAGTTGCTAACAGGGAGTATCTTATTACACGTTTTAAATGGAAATCAACATAGAAGACAAAAATTTAAAACAGATTTGAATTAGCACACTTTTAAATGTGTTAATTCAAAGTTCTGTTCTAGGAATTAAGTTACAAAAATCCTTACAAATCTACATCTGCCATCTTAATTGCTTAACAGCTTTTGCTCATTTCGTCATGCAGAGTAAATGCGTCGTAAGCAATTCTCAGTAACAAAGTCAAGTTATTGAGATAAAAACATGAATACGACAAAAGAACTGACTTAAACAGTTCTGCAGTTTGTTAAATTATTATGTTTATGCAAAGATTAAAATCTCTAGACTATTCTTTAGATTAATTTTCATCTTCGATATTTGCCATGTTTATTTACTGTACAGTAGTGCATCAACGGTAATACACACATTGTCAACAATGTACATTGTAGATTCACAAATAAACCAAACTTTTCACAAGTGTCTGCAATTACAGCCATTGCTAGGCAATGTGAAAAGTTTGGTTCTTGTATTTCTTGTATGACCTGCAAGGCAATTGCACAGATATCCTTACATCTGTTGATGTGGAATCGACCTGTGCAGAGGTTGAGAAAACTTCATCTCGGCAGACATGTGGGAAATGTAACGCTCGCGGATTTCTTGATGCAAAAGGGTCTGTTACATTACAAGTTTGATCCCAATGGTAGACCCGTTAACGATGAGTTCTGCACAACACAGTAAGACAAAAAGTGCCTAATCTTTGACATCACCGCCTCAACGAATTATGCTTTCCTAGCGAATGCCCATAACTTCCGCGGCCTCTCAACTGCCGGACCTTGTCTTTGCCAAAATGAAAGTTCTACCAAAGGATTGCATAAATCAAAGGCATTATGACAAATGTACTTGGGGTAATGCGGAACAAGCCAAAGATCATTTTAATTAGTAGTACGAATGGTTAGCGGTGGTCATCTTTAATTACTTGTACCATTAACACAATAAAAGTTTGGTTTGTAGAGACCTTAACACGAATAATCTAATTGAATGATACAAGTTATTATTTTTATAGCATTAGAGATTGTTTCAAACTCAAATGTTAAGGCATATTTGACTTTACAAATTTCTTATGTTATTCATAACTCTTTGTAGAGGTTAATTTGCAAAGTGATGATTTGCATTTTAGCATACGGGTCTGTTGAGATATTGCATTCTGTAAAGAAAAGTTTTGGTATACGATAGATAAATTAATAACAAGCAGATTTACAGTTGTACACTAAATTACACATATTGAATGGTGACAAAGAAATGAAATTGCAAACAGACTTGCATATTTAAAACAAGAAAATTCTTTTCACTATAGTCAATTTGCTCCCATTACATTAATTAAACAAGTTTAACATGGTATTTCTGCCTACATCAACGAGAATGACCAGTAGTTGGAGGTTGTAATGCAGTAATTATATAAGAGGCAGTTTTTATTAAAAAGTTTCAAGCTCGCCTCCAGAATGGATAATGTAACTTGTGCTTCATTTACTTCCAAGTTAATGTAGATCTTTGTCACATCAGAATATTGCCTTGTTGATTCTGTACGACAGGATTTTATCTACAATATTGTCTTTCTCCTATCCAGTATCGGAAGGAAAACTGTCCGTAGAATGCCAACAGTTTTATGCCGATAAACTTTGTCCGAAAAATCTTTGGCAGAAGTACAGAGTAAAATATAAAACTAGTAATTTATAATACATTTATTTTATTTGTATATATCGAACGTTTGTACAGATTATAAAAATTAATCTTTCAATATACTACTCCATTTTTTAATTACAATATGAAGCAACCTATTGTGAGGCAATTCTTTCAGTTTTTCAAACAGTCTGTTTGATTTGATTTGAGAAGTCTGTAAGCACTGCGTCGACAGAGCCAGTTGTAGGGCCTGGGCGAATCTGTCCAGGGCGATTTCCACTCTGTGAGACGGCAAAGCGTCGTTTTGAAGTTTCTCTCCGAGTTTTTCTAAAATGTGGACGACGTTGGCCGGAGATATCACTTCGTAAACGAGGTTGGACTTCGTCTGCGAGATCTTGATCATACTCTGAAGGACCGCCAGATGCAAATTAGAAAATATGTTGGCCTTCTGCTGTTTGTCCTTCCCGTCGGACGGGAGAGTCGAATTTTCGGAAACCGACTCCAGGACGCACCACTGCAGAATCCCGACGAGGGGAGTCTGCGGCCTGAAGTTGTAATTGGAGGGTAGATTTAACGGAATGAAACAGACGGTCGGAGAGGTGACGATCCAGTCGAGTATAGTCTCCAGTATGTCGCGGGGCGGAGAAAAGTACAGGTGGGTCACCGCCGTGGTCAGACTGGCGCAAAACAACGGGGCCACGCAGGATAAATTTTTCAGCGTGCCGTTGGAAGACCAAGACGGCATCATTCCGAAATAGTCCTTCACCACCGTCCTGGCCACGGACAGGGAAGGTTCCGCAGAACATCCCACATGCTGCATCAGCACGCCGATGCAGGCCAACACGCTCCCGTTGCCAATGGAGATGGCCATGGACACCAGACGTACCAAAATCTGCAATCTCTTCTCCAACAGCTTGGAACCCGGCGGGAAGAGGTAGAGAAACAAAGTTTTCTTATTCTGGTCGTTCTGGTGCCCGTTGAAGTAGCTGCAGATTCTTTCGAGAACTTGCAGCTCCTTAACCGGTGTCAATTTCTGTCTTCTTGCACCTCTTCGGTCCGATTCAAAGAAGATAAACTCTTCAGAAATGTCTCTAATTAACTGTTGCCCAGCGGATTCGTATATCATTTTCTGTAACTGATGAAGTGCTTCTGTCGTTACAACAGGAAAATCCAACTTTCTCAAGTAATGTTTAACGTCTGACATCCTGTTCAATTATTAGCAAATCAAAAGTAATTCCTGTGTCAAAATTGCTAAACAATTCCAAATAAAAGTTTGATTTGGCATTTTAATTCAATCACTTAACAATTTTTATATAAAAAGATTGTTTCTACTTACTTTAACTAAAATATAAAATAAATAATCGTTAATTTATCAGCAAATTTTAACATTCTTTAAATTAAACACGTGAAATAAACTAAAAATTCGTCAATTTCCAGCGAAATCGATCAACCTCCAATGTTTACAATCGGCCATGATCTACTAATTCGTATACTCGACACTAGAAGGCGCTTCTCGATCGTCATTCGTTCGCCATAATATTTAGAATATTTGAATGTAACTCAAAAATTTTTCCTATAAAGATTATAAATACCAAAATATAAATAAACTTATTTATTTTCAAGTTAGCTAAAATATCCCGAAAAATATTTAAGATAGCGGTTTTTTTTATAAGTTTTCATTTACGAGATAGAATATACTACGTTGATTTCATTTTTTTTTTACAAATAATAAATGTTAGATTAATACCTACACAAGTTAACAAATTAATAATAATAATTGAGTTTTAAAAATAATTACTTCATAAAATAAATAATACAATAAAAAAAATTTTTTAAATTTTTAACGATCACTTTCCGACTCTTAATATTTAATTTCTTTTTTCCAATTATCCAAAATTATTTTATGTAAACAAAATAAATATTTAAATTTTCATTCAAAAATTATATATCTATTTATTATTTATTACACATTTTATCTAAAAATGCGTTAATTTATAAATACAAATATTCTAAATTCCAGATGGCGCAGAGATATGTTAAAAGTCATTATTAAAGTAGCAATCTTTTCATTGGTTTCCGAAAATTGTGACGCAATTTGGCGGCGGAATATTTACTTTCTACGATTTAATGTAAGGACATGTTTACTTCAAATCGCACAGGTGAGAATTATTAATATTTTAGTTATTAATTCTCTATTAAAAATAAAATAAATAAATAAACACGCACGAATTTGATGATCGTGCAATAAATTTTAAAATCTAATGCGTTAAATTTTATAAAATAACGGAAAATATATTTGCGCTAATTTTGAAATTATATTAGAGAAACGGATTATGTTTTGTTCAATTTTAGAAAATTATTTTATATTTATAAATAAAAGGAAAAAAACGATAAGAAGAAATACGCATGAATAATTGCAATGATCTTTCAATATTTTTGTTTCCAAAGTTGGCATCAATGTGCACTGACCTCAGGAAATGGTTTGTTTCTTCCGCTGATAAAACTGGTCGTTGAACCACCCATTCTTTCTTAAATGATAAAAATATTCAGTTATTTCCAGGTTTTTATTAAGTATAATCAATCAGCGATATCTTGGAAATGTATAATACAAATAAATTATTTTTTATATTATATTTTGTGATTATATTATATTCGCAATCGAATCAAATAGTAATTTAATATTAGGATATTTTAGTTCGAATTTGTGATTGAAAATTTATTTATTAATTTGCTATAAATGGGCTAGATTTTTTGATAAAAGCGACATTGTTATTTAAATTATCCAATTAATAACAAGTTATTTTCCTAACGGAATTTGGCATTTTATGTAATATATTGTTTGGTGTTTAATACATTACTTATTTATTTAAATGTTAAAAGAAACGATTTTATTTCATTAATTCCAAAGTTTAAAAAAACCATCTAAATTCTGATATTTTAATTTACTACAGTTAGTTTTTTTATAAACTTGATATTATATAAATTAGCCAATTAATAGCAAATTATTTTTTTAAATAACGGAATTTGGCACGTTATCAGATTTTTAAATTTAAATGAACAAAAAGTTTATTTTTTAATTAATTTATAAATTTTTTAATTTACTTTTTCCTTATTTCTGGAGTGGAACGTTATTTTATACAATTTTTTTTAAATGTTCGAATAAATAGAACAATTAAATGAAGAAAAAAGTTTTTTAGTACCAAACGATACTCTAGACAAAATGCCAAATTCCGTCATTTAAAAATTAATAACGTTACGCTGATTGGATAATTTTCTTGGATGGTATCGCTTACATTAAAAACTTAGCCCATTTATAGCAAAATTTTAAAAAATTAAACTTTTAATTATTTTCTTTTAGATAAATTCTGATGTTTTAATTTCATTTCCATATATATTTTTTTAATTTTAAAATTATTTAACTTTTAATAGAATTGATTTGTCTTAAAGTTTGCAAATTATTTTACAAATAATTTATAAGGTTTCTTAGTCAATTTATTAAACTTGGTAGAAGTTGCAGATGTTTCTTTTGATATCTTTATACATATGCGGTTTATTGTTGGTGTTTGAACCATCTGTTTAAACACCTGCCTTCACTTGCTGAGTCTATGAATGTTTTCACTAGAGTCAGTAGGAGGTAGCGTTTACAGATGTCACAGTTTGTAAGGGGATTCCCGATTTTTATATAGCTTCGGGGTGCAAAATATTGCAGAAATTCTACCTACCGTTTCCGCTTCATCACATCTCATTATAACGGCGCGTCTGTTGCTTCGCAACTGAAGCGCGACGTTCCGTACGGTGTTTATTCTTTAAAATAATAATTTAAATGAATTTAAACGTCTCAATTACTTTTCGGAAACAACTTTCATTATTTGGAAAATTATCAATTACAGTATTTAAGAATATATTTAATCTCCATTAGTTATAAAATAATGCGAGGTATGAGCATTATTTTATAAACGTTCGCGCATTGATTTATAATAAATAATTTAATTTTTTCGAAAAAATAAATTTCTTGAGTACACATTTTACTCTAAATTTTGACTGCTTTAAATCAACTAAAATTGTTTTATTCAATTTTATGCTAGCATGACGTCGCGGCGTGCCGCGACGTCGTCATGCTTGCATAAAATAACAGAAATTTCTTCGTACTTTCTTTTTAAATTTTGGAATTAAATCGAGCGCATTTTAATTCAAACAATTTTAATATATTTTAAAAATTATTTTTAGAGACGAAAAGCGCTGTCGAACGTCTACAGATAAGCAAAGCGGATTACGTGAAGTCCGAATCAGTTTTGGACAACGATCAGAAACTCGAGTGGACTAGACATTTACAAATAACAACGAGACCACATTTGGACACGTGCGTTCAGAGATTAAAACGAAATTTAGAAAAAAATAAGCTTCGAAGTTGTAGATCCATCGATACCGAAAGTGCTCACAAGAATTCGTCTTCAACCTCCATACTATTAGATCCATACTGTTGTTGCGACTTGAAATACTTTGGTTTATTCTCTAGAAATTTAGAACTGTATCACAGAAGTTTACCAAATCTTTCAAAATCCAAACAAGAAGTGATTCCTTGTATAAGAATTCAAGAAAGACGAGATTGCAATCAGACAAATGCTTCGGATTCAAAGACCATATGCTCGTCTTTTGCGCGTATGACAGATTTAAAGGATGAATCCAGTACAGAATCAGATCCTCTTCATGATAAAACGTACAATACCCTAAACAGTAATTTGTTTAATAAATTTAATAAATTAGAAACATCAATTATCGAGAAGAACGCGCGAATAATTAAATGGCTTCGTTCGTGTCAGAATTGTCAAGAAAGCTGTTGAAAGTATGCACTTTTTTAAGTTGTAATGCAAAGATCTACAATCTTCGAATCTCACGTAGCCTTCAGTGACCTTTACTGGCCTTAGCAAAACTAAATTTGTACCCTTTTATACTTTACAATCACAAATTTTTGGAAAGGGAAAAACACAAATATTGGCTGGACAGAACTTTAAAAAAGGAAAGAATAAACACTATCAGATCAAGAAGAAAATTCAAGGACAGACATTTCCTGTGTTCTGGATTCAGCGCCTGCTTCAGGGCCCACGCTTAATGATCAGGATTCGGCATCTCGAAAAAACCCCACATTTGTATTTTGTACCCCCGTAAAATAAAGAGCCGGTCTTCAGGACTGTGGAGAAGACAAAGTAGATCATGAATTGTAAATTATGAAAGTATAATCTAAATGTAATATACTCTATTCGTATTTTTATAAATGTATATATGCAACCAGCATTTCAGCATGCAGCCTTACGAGAGATCCCCCAATGTGGCCTCTCAATTTAAGGGCCGCTTTGTATCATCTTTGTTTAATAGACAAAGACGATTAAAAAGATTAAATTCATCAGAAGAAGAGACGAACAATCGTTATTTCTGTGGAAATAATTTAAATTTTTAAAGGATACTTAGAATGATAGATTTAAATATTGTTAAAAATTAATTATTAAAAAAATTAAATTTCTTATGGCTTTAGATATAAATTTCAAATATTAATTTATCATAGTTTATGGCGGTTTTAAAAATGAAAGGCTTTTTATTAAGAAAAGGTCATTAAATTCAAATGCTATAATTTATTATAATTAAAGCGATTAAAGTAGCAAATTTAAAAATAATATAAATAAAATCCTACGCATAAGTTTAATACTATTTAAAATATAATTTAAATAGCTTTTTTTACAATCTTTACAATGATTGGTTTAAGAAATTTGAAATTTGTAATATCACTTTCGTTTTGTAGTTCGCTAACCAATTATTGTTATGTAAATATTGTAACCAATCATCGTTTAGTAGAAGAAATTTTTACATATCGCAAAGAACTACCTATGTTCTTAAAGGTGATATTGCTCCATAAATTTACGTACCTATTAAAAATTAATTAATACTTGAAAAATTACAATCACTTTACGCAATAGATATCAACATGAACTGCTTAAATTCAGTCATAAACTTTTAAAGGCGACAAATATGCAAATTTACAATGGGATAGTCATAATTCTTCTCTCATTCATTAGTTATGCACGTGATCTCCAGCAGAATGCGTTAAAAATTTAATGATTTTTCTCTTTTTTTCCCAAAATTCTCGAAAACGGAAGTAGATAGAACCAAACGGTTTTTTGCGTTAGAGTTCTATTTAATTGTTCTATTAACGTACGGTTCGGAATTTCAAAAATCGAAATTTTTAATTTTCTACGAATTATTAAAGTTGTAGAAAATTAATTAATTTGATATTGCAATTCATAAAATTGTATAAATTTAGAAAATTTAAAATTAATTAATTGCTAGCTTTCACAAAAATTTGCATGTTTCACAAATTCTGGTGTTCTTCTTCGGTACACCTTTGTAGAAAACAATAGCCCATATAAAGAAAATTTCTAAAAATTGTGCAAATAGTAGCGTAAAAATTCTTTGCCATGTTTGCAATGTTTTAATTTAATGCGCATGGATGTGTTTTTTCCACTTAATTTCATTTCTAGAAATTTATACAATGCTCAGTTTTTTGGCAATATGTTGAGAGATGGAACGTAACAAATCGAAGCAACTTTATAAATGAGTATAATTGATTTATTGGATTAATTAATGCGAAACACTAGATATGGCCCTTATTGCAGGCAGCTCTGGCGCACAATAGGTTGTCGTCATAGAAATGAGAAAAATGCCCGATCCGCATTATTATTATTATGGAAGGATTGATTAGGTTTTAACTCGTATCTCCATACTGTTAGGCTAAGTAATAGTATTACCTTACTGTGCAGCCTACATAAATTGATGTAAAATTGTTATTTGTTTACATGTATTTAAAAAATATGTAGTATTTAGCATATTATATTTAAGTTGTATCAAAAATGAATTTATTATAAAAGTCTATATTTTGTGAATTAATTCGAATAATGTTTTTCTCCCTTCATTTTTGTATTTTTCTGCCCCGTGAACACTAAAAAGAGCTGTTTTTCTCCTTACTCATTGTGAGTACGGTTAGCCTTACAAAGAGCACAAGTAGGAAGTGAGTGTCGGGGCATGATATGTCTAGACTTACTACCCATGAAAAATTTTTGGCTTTCTCTGCCCAGATTCGATCCCGAGTCACCCAGAGGGATAGATTGATGTCTTAATCGTATCGGCCATCCGACCGTCAATAGAGTATAAGTTTCTGGAGGAATAATTCGTGTCAATAAGGTTTATGGAAGTAAATGAAGCCAAGAATTGTCTGTTAGAAATATCATGCGAGAAGAGGTAATTAAATAGTATCTAATCTCTTTGTAAAGAAAAGTTGAATTGCAAACACCTGGCCTCGGGTATAAAAGCGTACCCACTTATGTAGACAAAACGGTAAAATGGTTACGACTGCTCACGTTTGATATAAACCATGTAATTTCATCTTTTTCTTTAAGAAACAACGAAACTTAATTATGCTTTAGTTTAATTAAAATCATTTTATTTAGTTTTCTTTAATATTATTTTCATTTTCTTGTGTATGAATATTTCTGTTTATCGGTTCTGTTTTTACTGGCGTGTTTTAGTCAAAATATATTCTTGGAAATTGTTCAATTCTTTTTCTGCAATAGTCGGATATTTCTATAGAAACGATGTTACAATTGTTATTATTAACGTTTATCCAGAAGATGAAAAGAGAATTGAAGATCTTGCTCTTGATTACATCCAACAAGAGGAGATCGTTATTATCATCCATGTATCTTAGGAAATATCGGTCCTGATTGGCATTCCAATCTTTTGGCAATTTGTGAGGTTCCAATACTTTCAATTCGGATGGCCATTCTTTTCCTATTCCTACAAAGCGCTTCATTTTATCAATAGTTTCACAATGCAATGCTAGCACTATGGCATCTTCCAAACTAGTAAGTTGTTCCTTTACGTTATTAAAGATATTATTGAATGTCGTGAGGTACGTTAGATCTTTATTTGGCCCAGCATTATTTTCCCCTGGGGTTAATATGAGATGTTCAATTTTTTCTCTAATTACGAAGACATCTTCCTTATAGATATCCGGAAAACTGTTCAATTCTTTTCCAGCATATTGAAATCTTTCAATGTCAATGATGTTCGAGTCATTGTTCCGAACATCTATCCAGAAAACGAAAAGAGAATTGAAGAGATCGCTCTTGAACACATCCAGCAAGAAGCGATCCTTATTATCATCCACGTATCTTAGAAAATATCGGTCTTGATTCGAGTTCCATTCTTTCGGTAACTCGTGAGGTTTGAGTATTTTCAATTTGGATGGCCAGTCTTTTCCTACCCCCACAAAATATCTCATTTTGTCAATGGCTTGGCAATGTATCGCTAACACCATGGCATCATCCAAACTATTTAGTTGTTTCTTCACTTTTTCATAAATATTATTCAGTGTCTTCATCTTACTAAATCTGTTTTATATCTTATATTATTTGAGAATAATACGATTTAGAATAGTCTCTATTCTAACTTGTGAAAAACTTTATCACTTCTTAATCGCAAGAATAATCTTTAAAATTTCAAAATGAATGTTCGAATTTTCAAAATTTATGAAACAGAATAACGTCATATTATTCTTATCAATGTTATAAAATAATAGTCTATGTGTCATTTTTGGGCTGCAATTTTAAAAAAAGTTGTAAATCTACAAATTCCCACTATTTTCACGTGCGGCTAAATATCCAGATGGCACATAGCGCTGATTGGTCAGCCGAATGACGTCAACCCACCGAAGTATAGATTATATTTTGTGGTCGTCAAAACGAATCGTGACGAAATAGATGTTTTTTTTTAGTTGTCGTAATATGGAGTGAGTATAAAGTGAAAATAAAGCTGATTATTTTTTTTGAAAATTTAATTTCATACTTCTAAAGAATAATTATTTCTAGATGCCTCGTATGTGTTGTATACCTGGTTGCGTAGAAAAATCTATATCCAGTGTCTATATTTAAGTTTTCACAGGATTTTATTTGAAAAGCAAACCTATGGATTAGAGAATCTGTAAAAAAATAACTTATTATTTAAAATGTTTTAACAATTATGCATTAAAAAGTATGAATTATGTTTAGGTGAAAATATATATTGTTAACTAATCTGCATTTTTACTTAGCATATTCTGTTGTAATATATATATAAAACATTAAATACAAGTTTCTGTAAGGTTAAAAATACTGTATTGTCTAATAAAGAATGTTAAAAAAACTTAATTTGCAATTTACATTTGTTGTTTTTGATTATTTTATTATTATAGTAAATGTACAAAAAAGCTTACAAAAATACAAAACAGATAAAAGTTACTTCTTGATGTTTAAAAATGTCTCAGCATTAAAATCTTTGATATCGCGTAATTTTATGTTAAAATTATTGCAAAATTTTCAATTAATGTCAATACACACAAGAGCTAGTGAAATTATAAATAAGTGATCTTTATCAAGTTTTACGTGAAATGTCTATAACTATTATATAATGTCTGCCCACTCTCACAACAATAACAACAACAGTACGAAGTTTAGGCTAGTCGCTCAACATTACCGATTTTCGTAGGTTGACGTCATTCAGCTGACCAATCAGCGCGTTGTGCCATCTGGATATTTAGTCGCACGTCTATTTTCTAGTGTTTGTCGGTTCTTCCTTAATCTCGAGAACGGAGTTAGATAGATGAAAATCGAGACCCGATATGTGTGTCTTGCGCCTAGTAAGAATTAACACCTCCCAGGCCGAAATGGAAGGATCGGTGCCGCTAGAAAGCTTCTCTGGGGGAGAAGAGATAAAACAAAAGGGGTCGGAAGGTTCTTCTTTCAAGGAAAAGAGCGAGGGTGGAAGAGTCGATAGTAGAGGAGTGAAGTAAGGAAGTAAGAGGAACTCGTTACGAAGTAGCCGTGTGAGGAAAAATTATCGAGGATCATCGAAGGAAGATGCAAAGTTCTGATGAATAAATGAAGAAGGATTGCCGCAACCAGCTACAAGTCCGAAAGATCCATATTAGTAAGGACTCAAATTCGGGTTTTTATGCTTAAACTGTTTAATCTCTGTGACAAAAAGAGATTAATATATTATTGTCGGGCCTTTTCTTGTTGTCACGCGTGAAGCGTTTCAATACATCTGGGGAGAATTCGTGAATAAATTAAATTCTTCTTCTGTTATGATTAAAAATTGCAGCCCGGCACTATGACGATGTCACAATAAAATAATTACTCGTCTATATATATAATCGAGACGAGTTAATAATAATAATCAGCGCAGAGCCCAAACGGTTAGGAGTTGAAAGCTGAAATTTGGTACACAGTTAGGGTACGTCACGAAAACGCACACTAAGAAGGGATTTTTCGAAATGCCCCCTGGGGGAGAGGGACAGGATTAAGCTTAACACTTCCATCAACAATAGAAGTGTTAAGTAACAATGAAAGTGCAACAATGGAAGTGTCAACAATGGACGTGTTACGTAACAATGGAATTGTTAAGAGAAAGCGACGTTTTAAGAGAAAGTGCAGTTGGTTTTCGTTTTTGCAGGAAATTGAAGATATTTTTAGACCCATGTAAAAATTCTCTAATTAGTCTGGAAACGGGGGATCCAATTTTTGCATTTTGTGAAAACGGGTAAGGTTGACTATAACGTAATAATCTTAATCTTCGCTATCGTTACTTTTGCCCGAGCAACGCCGGGCCCACCTGCTAGTTATTTTATAAACCTATATAAAGTCAAAAATTATAGAGTTTTGATGATTTTCAGGTTTATAAGACAATTTCAACATAGAAACTCAAGAAGAAAGACGGAACGCTTAATGCTTGATTCTATTTGTAAGTTCTAGCGGCAGCAGCGAACGATGGCGACGATTACTATAGAAACAATCCCACAAGGAGCCAATATGGGAGCTAAAATATTGGCATACGAACTGCATACATTTTATATATTTTAGAAAACAATAAAAAAAAAATAATAAGTATCAAAATTCCCCCCAAAAAATGTCGGAACTAAAACATTTGCCACGAGGTGTCGCCGGACGATTTCATTCTGATTGGTGTAATCGGTGATGTTTTAATCACGTGGTAGTTCCTGTTTCAGGTGTGTTGTTAGGATAATGTTAAGTGAAACCATTTAAGTTTCCATTAAGAAAAAATCATTGATTACCTAAAAAAAGTAGTATATAAATAATAATAAAAGAATCATCGGGAACGTTTTAGTCGATAAAATTATAAGAGTTATTCGAGATATTGACCCTTAATTTGATTTTAAACATTAAGCCTAACAAAAGCGTCGGTTGCCATGACAACTTTGGAAGAAGATAGAAATCGTTTCAAATCTTCCACATCCGATTTAAATCCATTGATCATCGATTTAGAGAAGGGAAATAAAACGGAAATCGTAGAAGAGAAGGAAGAACAACCAGAAGTCGATATTGTGATCAATAATGTTGTCTGTAGCTTTAATGTGCGATGTCATCTAAATTTAAGGAGGATTGCCCTCCATGGAAAAAATGTTATATATAAGAAAGAAAATGGAGTAAGTTTCACTTTCTTCTTTCTTTCTTTTTATTCCTATTTTATGTCAATTCAATTTATTTTATTACTATTTGTCATGTGTTTAATTCATACATATAATTATGTGGCTACAAATGCAGCTCAGTCCATAGGAGTGAAAAAAGTCCATTCCAGAACTTCAATTTTACTGTGATATGTATAAGAAAATTTACGCTCTGATTTGTTGAGATAAATATGAATGAAAGTTATGTCTTTTTTTATTGGGTTTTATCTTTGCGATAGAATGTAGACAGTGTATGGGGTGGTGCCCCGGTGGAACGATTAAATTATTCATAAATTACAAATGCAATTGAGTGAATTACGAAATATAATTTTCATAATATAAATTTGCTGTGGAATGTAGTCGAAATCTGTAGTCGCTCGTAAAATTGGTCGATGATGCGGTGTTTGATTGCTGTTGAAATTTCTCTTGTTGCGTTTCTGAAGAATCTGTGAGTTCTCTGTTGGAGATGCACGGAGTTTAAATTCGGTTGCTTCCGTGGTGCGGAGTCGAGGCTTGCGTGGGGTCCACCTCGTGCGTCTGGAGTTATTAATCTGGTACTAAATACTTGCTTGAGGTTGTCAAATGCTTAGTGCCAACTATCCATCTATCAAACTCAAAACACAATTTGTTTCTAACAAACTGTTCAAAAATTAGAATATTTTCCTGTCGGGACATATATATGCACTACATTAATTGCTCTGTTTTGTTAAAGTGAATCTTTTGGTGATAAATTGGTTGTCCGTTAACATTCAATCTTGTTCTATCACTTCAAATGCTTACTAAATAAGCATTTGAAATATATTAACCTAACGTTTGTTGGATATTTTTAATTGCCACCAATAAAAACATTTAAAGGAAAATAAGTAAAAGAGAAGTCCTTGATGTTCTCCTTAATCATACAATTTGAACAATCTGCTTTTTCTCTGGAACAAAAAACAACATGTAAATCAGATATGCTTATTTTTTAGGAAAGATAATATATAAATGAAGCACATTCAGAATGGACATAAGTTATGAAATGGCTGAAATTGAGTAAAGTCTGCTGTCTTAATTATTGTGTGTTTAAAAACAGATAGTGTAGAATGCTCCATTACTCTGCAAGCCATTTATAATTGGCTAGTTTGAGGCTTATGCTTCAGAAATGTTTTGTGTTGTTGTTACTTTACTTATCTCAACATTACTAGATTATAACAAGTTTCTTTCATGCATCATATGCTTCAAATGTAACTTTGAACAAGCATAAAGTTAAATTAAGTTTACATTTAATTTTAATGTATATATACACAAAGTACTTAAAAATAACTTCTGCTCTTAAAAATTACTTTTGCTACTTAAGCTTTATTAATTCATTTAATTAAACATTAGAAGAAAGTATTTTGAGAAATTGCTGTTTTTAAATTTTTTTTTAATCTTCAGAACTTTTAAAATCTGTACAAATAGTGGCGACACTAGAAAAAATCATTAAAAAGACATATTGAATTTTTACATTTGCCCTTTATCAGATTTACTATGTAAATAATGCAAAGTAACCACTTTGCATTATTTACGTAGTCTATTCTTGTGGTTGGATTTTTGTTTTAATTTACTATTAAAGAATTGTGAAACAAAAGATGTAAAGGTGTGGAATTATTTTAGATTTTGTTTTTAATGATATTATGTTTTAAAATATCATCTAAGTATTTTTATAAATTTTAAATAATTACATTGTGATTTTTTAACTTAAATGCATTAGCTTCAAATTTAAACAAGTTCTCTTAAATAGACTCTCTTTAATTTTGAATTATAATTAACTGATGAAGCTTAAATAATTATGCAAAAATACTTTTGAGTTTTTAATTTTAATTAAGCTTTATGATTGTTTAACGTTGCTTTATATTTTGTTTTAATTGTATACAATTTGCAGGATGTTTATCTCATTTTTTGAGTTTACATCATCTGTTTTTGGGAGTTTGATTAAGAGAATTCATTCTTTGGTTAGAATCTTGTTGATGGATAGCAAAAATTTTCAATAACAGCTTTACATCTTTAGTTGTAAGAAGATACTTTCAGAACAAGTTTTCAATCTCTCTCCATTCAAGTTATATTTTATTAATTTTTAATTTATTAAGAATGACTTATATAAGAAGTTCTAAGTTTTATATATTCATTGTTATTAAAATCAACAGATTATATATGAAATAAATGTTCATATATAATCTGTTGATATTAATAACAATGAATTAGATTAGGAAAATTATATTGAAAAGAATAGCTTCTGTACATAGTTGTTGTTATAAAATTCACTAACAGAAAAACTGATTGTAGAGTATGAAAATAGACCAATAAAAAATACAGGTAGCTTTCTGTTAATGTGATATATTTCATATGCATGATGAACTCAGGATATTTTTCTTCTAAATTATAAATTAGAAGTTCAGACTATTTACAAAAAATTAAATTAATTAATTTTTTGTAAATAGTCTGAACTTCTAATTTATAATTTGGTGATATATTTCTTGAAAGTAATGCTTTTTTTTTTTTTTTTTTTTTTTTTTTTCCTCTCCATCCTATGGTCGGTAAGAGGGTGAAAGTAATGCATTAAATGAACTCTATACTATGCCTACTTGCAGCATTGTCCAGAAATATAAACCAGAAAAGTGGATGTAGTACAAAGATTGTTTATAATTAATAAAATTAATTAATATGAAAACACATTACTGAGGATTATGTGTATATTATTTTATTTGCATGTGTTGAAATGAATGCAGAACTGACTAATTAGACATGCTGTAAGAATGTCTAATTTTTATTTTGCATTTATATTGAAAAGAAAAATCTCCTATTTGATATTATCATTTGAAAAAAAAAGGACTCTCTTTAATTTTGAATTATAATTAACTGATGAAGCTTAAATAATTATGCAAAAATACTTTTGAGTTTTTAATTTTAATTAAGCTTTATGATCATTTTCATCGGGAAAACATTTCAAAGTGTTGTTTCAATTCTATGTATTTATTGGAGTGTTTGTGAATACACGATATTTTTTGTTTTTCTGTCTGGTGCGTACATGAATAAATCAGGTTTTCCGACGCATGAGCCGGCCACATACAGTTGTCCATGCGAGAAGCACGGATTCTCCAAATTTAGCCCACACACTTGCAGCGATTGTCAGAAGTACGATATTCCTCATTTTTATATATATATTTTTTAATCCTTTATAATTTTAATTATTTAATTGCTCCTTCCTCTCTTCCTTGGCATGTTGTGAAATTTCTGATAGTTGGATAATAAACCGGTTTATTGTAATTTGTCTTTTTAAATTATTTTGAGTCGATATTAAAATTTGGAAAAGGGGGGATACCTAGATCAGTAAAATATGCGATTTTCTTCCTACAACTTCGGTTGTTGTTCGGGGTACGGTTAAGGTTTCAACGAAGTTTGAGCAAATACATAATTAGCAAAAAAAAGTTGAAATAAAGTGATTAAACAAAAATATCGTAAATAACAGTTCACAAATGCATATATAGAGATATTTTTTGAAGAGGGGAAATGGTCTTCACAATTTGAAATCGATCGAACACACAGTGCTCGAATGCTCGTGTAAACGCGCGCCATCTATTGTAGGATAAATGCCAGAAACCTTCGCGGGAGTGTATTAAAAAACTTTCCAAAGCTTCATGGCAATCGGATAAACGGTGTGGTAATGCATGAAGGACACACACACATACGTTCATTTTTATATATATAGATTATATTATATATATATAATCATTATATTCATATGATGTCTACATCATCAAGCCAAATCGTGCAGTAATAAATATTCTTTATTGGTTTTTCAGCAATATGACTTCATTAAAAAATTAAATAGAAAATTCTGTAAAAGCAGAATCATAGAATTACCAGAACTAAAATTAAAATCTTAGTGTACTTTATTCTGTTTTTACACTCTAAAGAACACTAAGGTGACCTTGACTTTTGTTTGAATGCTTGTTAGCCACATGTAAAATGTTCTTCTAATAATGCTGTCACAGATAAAATTTTCATTTCACAATCTTCAAATATCTAATTGTCAATTCAAAGATCCTACAAGTACTAATGGTGAACAATATATAGTCTTCTCAATCATTCTGAATATGTAAATGGAAGAGAATGTCTCTTAGTGTTTGGAATTTTTGTAAATTTTGCATTTATATTGAAAAGAAAAATCTCCTATTTGATATTTTCATTTGAAAAAAAAAGGTACTGTAATTCTTAAAAGTAAAAATCTGCATAGCATATCTATATAATTACCAGAACAACAATGAAAATGTTTTCATGTTATTTTAGGTTGTCTTACTTGTTAGTACTACTTTCTGACTTAAAATGAAAAAATATTGTAATTGTGTCGAACTTGACCTTCTGGGATTTTCCAAATCTTGACATTTTGAGACCTCTTGAACCCAAATAAGACAAAAAAAGGGGGGAAATTCCATATATGTTGGCATCTATTTTGTTTAATATCTCACAATGGAGTAAAGATTAAGAAACAAAATTTGACACAGTAACTTGTATATAAGGGACATTGATGGTATTAAATTTTGGAGTCTTGAACTCAAGTGGACAGATAAAAGGAGTCATGAGTAGTATCTCGGCCAGAGTAAAGCTTCACAAAAATTTTACTTGTATGAGTTTTAAGTTCTTTTGAAATGAATATTTTGTCTTATAAAATTTCTCCAAAATTTAAAAAAACATTATTTTATGTTTGTTTCAATAATTATGTGGATTTGAATGTAGTTTTTAGTTTAGCTTTTCTAAGATGGCACTAAATAATGGGACAAATGATCACAAGTTATTCATTTTGGCTATTTTTTTAATTGTGAATTTTTTCATAATATTAGGGAGTATTGCATTTTTTGAACTTTCTGAAAATTATTCATTATTAAATTTTTACATTTTTGTTACAAATAGAATTATCTTAAGATTAAAATCAACAGATTATATATGAAATAAATGTTCATTATAATCTGTTGATGTTAATAACAATGAATGTAGATTGGGAAAATTATAATGAAAAGAATAGCTTTATTATTTTTTGTGAAGAATGTTGATTGACAAATTAACAGGAGGGCATATGCTTTGTAAATAAGCCAAAACACGTTACGGAAGGTAAAGAAAGGCCATCTGATGTTGTCGTGAAAATATAAGAATCTGATTTTCTTCACTGTCTTTGGCTAATTATAAATTCATCAGTCACATTTCTGAAAAACAATAAGAATTAGGTTTATTTACAGGAGTTTTTACATTGTCATTGTTTTTTCCTTACTTTCTTACTGTTATTTCTTACTTAATCCCACAAAACACCAAAATCAAAAATTCTTGTTTATAGGAAAGAATTCTTGATTTTGGTGTTTTGTGGGATTATTAATATTTCTTGTATTTTTTAAGAGAGATTTGGTGATATTTTCAAATGCTTTTAATTAATCTTCTGTAACTTTTTAATAACAAGAAGCTTTAAAGGTGTGGAAGCTCATTTGGTATCAATTCTGGTAGATTGTTTGCATCTATACATGTGGATTATATATTTAGTCTCAATGCCAATCATCATGATGATCATGAGTATGTTCCTTTTAATATAAGCTTAATGATGTGGGTCAGCATTGAATTGATCTGTTTGAAATAATAACATATGTAGTGTTAATTGTATAATATATATACAAAATAACTGATTACAAAGAATAAATTGGAACAAAGAAATCATGGTCAAAATTACCACAAAATGATCAAACTGTAAATTTACAAAAAACAGAATTTCTAGAGTAAATATCTTGTTTATAAGTTGGAGAGCAACTATGAGTCATTTCCATTATTGATGTAAGGGAAGACGGGGAACTGCAAAAAGAAACTGTGCATTTGGATCAATTTACAATCTTGAAAAAGTTAAGATTGTCATTTTAATGTAATAGTGCCAAAAAAAATAAGTGAATTGACAAACTCCACATCAAAATTAGCCAAAAATTATTTGAAAAATACATATCTTTTTCTTATGTCTGGAACTGAAAATATTTTAAATAGGTTTGGCATTAAATTGGGTTTGTTTGCAATGCAAAATCATATATCAATAATTAATAATTCTCAGATGCAATAAAGAGCAGCTTATCGAAGATACTCTACTGAAAGATTTGTTGTTTAATTCTTTACAGAGAAATATTATTCATGAATACTAACTGATGCTTTACAGGGATGTCACTATATTGAAGTTTGATTATACATTTAAACTTGAATAGTTAATGATTTATTGCGATATAGTTGAAATTTTGTTACATCTGTCACATACGAGGGCTGTTCGGAAAGTTCGCGGCCTTGCCTATATGCGGCGCTGCGATCAATTTAATTTTTGGCGGGAATAATTCAGCCATCTTTGCTAAAGATACGATATTAATTTCCGCTTGATTTGTCAAAAAGTTTTGCCATGACAGCTTAGCAGATAGTCAGTGTGCACATGCTTTGTCAAAAATGGAGAAGACGGAGACTCGTGCGGTCATAAAATACCTGACGAAAAAAGGGTTGACCCCATCTCAAATCAAAGCTGACATGGATGAAGTTTTAGGAGAGTCTGCTCCTTCGTACACCACTGTGAAAAAATGGACAGCCCTTTTTAAATCTGGCAGAGAAAGTGTGGAAGATGACCCTCGCAGCGGACGGCCGTCAACTGCTGTCACTGAAGAAAACATCGACAAAGTTCACGATTTGGTATTAGCAGATCGCCGTTTGAAAACGCGTGAGATAGCTGAGACAACAGGCATCTCTGTCGACCGAGTGCACCACATCCTAACCGAAGATTTGGGTATGACGAAGGTCTCAGCAAGGTGGGTGCCGCATCTGCTGACCGCCGAGCAAAAACGTGTTCGCACTTTGATGTCAAAGGAGTGTTTGGACTTCTACCAGAAAAACCCACAGGATTTCTTGCGTCGGTTTGTGACTACTGACGAAACGTGGATCCATTACTACACTCCTGAAACAAAAGAACAGTCGAAGCAATGGAAACACCACAGTTCGCCACCACCAAAGAAGGCAAAGACAGTTCCATCAGCGGGTAAAGTGATGGCCTCGGTTTTTTGGGATGCTAAAGGCATCATCTTTATTGACTACCTAGAAAGAGGAAAGACCATTAATGCTGTCTATTACTGTGAACTTTTGGAAAAACTGAAGAAAGAAATCGAAGAAAAGAGGCCACACTTGAAGAAGAAAAAAGTTCTGTTCCACCACGATAATGCACCTGCACATTCCGCCAGAATCACTGAACAAAAGATAAACGAACTTCGCTTCCAATTAGTTCCACATCCACCGTACTCACCTGATTTGGCCCCCAGTGACTTCCACCTTTTTCCAAACCTAAAAAAATTCTTGGCTGGAAAGAGATTCCACTCAAATGACGAAGTCATCTCTGAAGTGAACGAGTATTTTGCACACCTTGACAAATCGACCTATTGTGATGGCATAAAAAAGCTAGAACATCGCTGGAATAAGTGCATTGCTAACAGAGGAGATTACATTGAAAAATAAAAAAGTTTTAACATTATTTTGTTTGTTTTTCTATGTGAGGCCGCGAACTTTCCGAACAGCCCTCGTACATACTGTATAGGCCTCACTTTTTTTATCCTAAATTTTTTTGTCTGACATTAGGGTGCAGCCTATATTCAAGATAAGGAATACTTTTAAAACAACTTAAAATTTTAAAGCAATTTATTATCATTAATTGTCTTTACATATCTTAGGGCTTGCAGGAAGATTATTGTGAGGTTTTAGACCACTGGGGATGAGAAGTAAGAAGAAAAAGGTGTGAAGAAAAGAAGGGAGCTGTCTGAGGCTCCAACTAAGCAATAATGCTACAGGACTGTAAAAATTATAATCAATGTCTTCATTTGAAATTGACAGCTATTTTTAGCCGGAAACCAAGGCGGAACAGAGCTATTGGTAAGTTGTTCTTGATTATTTGTGTTCAGAATGCCGGGACGCGGAAGGACCCAAGGATCAAAAAGGGGAATGTCGTGTTCCGAGGATCTGGGAGGTCGGACTGTTTTTAGTCAATCCCAGGAAATGGATACAGAGTCAGAAAGGGAAATCTTAGAGGTTGAGGTCATGGATAACCGGAATAAAATAGAGGGACAGATGGAGTCAGACGATGTAGAGAAATTACGCCCACGAATTAGGCTAGCTAAAATAGAAGCTAAAAACAAGAAGATGGACGTTAGAAAAAGTGAAATAGAATTAGAAAGAGATTGGTTACGAAACAACTCTAGGGCTAGTAATAACTCTGAGCTAGGAGGTAACTTGGATAGTCTAGCTAGAAAAATCAGATGGGCTTTACTCAAAATGCTGGACAAGGAGGCGGAAGTACCTTCATGGTTCCATGCTGTGAAAGTTGTATTACAAACATACAATGTACCGGAAGAGCTTCAGAACAGTTAGTTTTAACGGTATTATCCAAGAAAGGCAAAACAGCTTTAAGTAGACTCACGGCAAATGAAATCAGAGACTATGAAACTTTAAAACAATTTGTGCTAGACGAATTAAAGTTGTCTGCTGCAGAGTATCTTAAGGAGTTCACTTCCTCCGAAAAGGGAAGTAGGGAAACGTGGCCCCAATTTGCGGCTAGGATGGAAGACCTTTATTGGTACTATTTGAATAGTAGAGGCGTAGATTCCTTCGAAAGACTAACAAAACTAATTGTCTCGGATCATCTTAAGACTAAGCTAGATGCCGACACTAGGCGTTACGTTCTATTGCAAGAGGGTAAAGGTTGGTTCCCGCCGGGAGAGATAGCTAGGTATGCCGAAAAGCATGCGGAAGCAGTTGGAAATGGGGAGTTCAGGTGTAAATCCGAAAGAGATAAAAGAACAGCCTTTGGAACTGGGGGTGTGAGCGCAAATAATAGAGAGCCAGAGAGGAGGGAATAAAAAATGAGACGTTATATTTGTGATTAAACGGGACATTTAAAACGTGATTGCCCTCGGAGACGTGTTAAGGATGAAATGCTGAGGTCTAGAGCAGCGCGAGTGGTTACAACATTAGACGAAACGGTAAAGTCTGATGACAAGTTAGTAGCTAGGGTAAGAATCGGAAAGGATATGATTAGTGGAAACTTACCCGCTAGCTTAAACAAAAATCTCCTGCTTACTTATCAAGGTTGAAAATTTTCTGCAATAGTAGACACTGGGGTAGAAATAACGGTGATGAGAAAGGCTTTGATACCCGATTACATATCCCGTACAGAGGGTAAGACGAAGTTAATCAGTGCATTCGGACAGCAGGTATCTGCAATGTTAGTAACCATACCTGTAAGCTTAAAAGGGTGGTTGGGCAGAAAGAAAAATTATTATGCTCCAGTAGTGATAACCTGCGCTTTGACCGATGAGCTTAGCTGCGCTACGGATGCGTTACTTTCGGCAGCCGATTATTGCACTTTAAAGGGAGCTAAGCGGACGGGAAGAAATAAACGGAAAAAACGTAACGAGAAGGTCATAGGTGAAAGGGTTAGCAAAGGAGATAGTCCAAACCCTAAGGTGGATAAAAGGGGCAATATAAAAAAATGTTGCGAGGCATGTAGTAGTCGTCAGGTACGCACTCCCTTTTGGCAAAATGACCGTACACCTCATAGTACGAAATTGATATGTTGGGCATTAGCATCACGGAAATACAATGTCGAGACCAGGCACAGAAAAAGGAAAAAAACGTACTAATGCTGACGCCCTATACAGACAGGAAGTCAGGAACCTCCAGATCAGACGAACAAGACACATTAAATTCTGTATTAAGTCCTTCAGATAGAGATAAGTGATATCTACGAGGCGATTCTGAATATAGATTAATGGAACAATTTGTCAATGATAGTATTGTACTGTAAATATGTGTCTGCTAGATGTTAAGTACTTATAACGGTAAGTAATTTGTTAGTATACAACAATATCTATAGTAATCTGCTCCTTGTATTAGAAAAAGGAAAAATGTATTGTAAGAACTGATTTGTGTAATGATAATTATGGTGCGTGGTGATGGTATATGTTTAGGTCAAACAGGCTTTTGTTAAAGCGCAGTTTGAACCTTGTCAGTGGGAGATGTAAAGTAGTGACCTTTCAGCAGAGTGGGGACAAAAGAGGCGCGACCTTGTCAATTGGACCCATGTGCGGTCAGGTAATACCACTTGTAAGGTATTGACTTGTGAACAAGGGAAAACAAAGGAAGCGCCGGCTTTGTTAATTGGACCCACCTGCAGTCAGACATTAGTACATTTGCCATATGGTAAACAAACGAACGTAAACAAGTGGTGGACGTTTGTGTAAGCTTCACTCTCGTCAGATGACGGCGAGCCCAAGTGTAAGCTGTTCGGGCATAAAAAAGGGTTGTGATTGGTCGGAAGTCCCCGTTCCAAAATCCCTTAAATTGCGGGGTGAACGAGAGAGGAGGAGAGAAGGGCAAGAGACTGGTACACGGTAGTCTCTGGCACTTGGGAAGCCCGCTGAGCGTAGAGAGTGTGTTCTCCTCTGTTAATCATCTCAGGGATGGGTTAGTGCAGAGACCGGACTGACCATGCAGTTGAGCCAACTCCACAAGCTGACTGAGGTCTCTCCTAAGGTTATTAGTTCCCAGACGCCAATCTTTCATGTGAGTCATCACGCATGGTCATCCTGCACATATACTATGTTTTCTAACTTGTACTTTCTACAACTGTAAATAAACTGTAAATATATTCAATTTGAGTGTGGAGGTGTGCTTTCCAATGAACCTGATTCACTACACCGAGTCGTGATACACAGGAAACCAACTCAACGAGACGGAGTTGGGAAAGAACGGCAAAAAGATCTTCACTGATATTTTATCTAAATATGACTTTTTTCACTCCTATTTGTTTATTGAAACTCATAAAGTTAAACCCTTCATTACTCATGGATTTGCACTTGAAAAATTTATTGCTGTCTTTTAATTTTTGTTTGAATTATATTATAAATATTAAACTAACAAACAATTTATGAAATTATAGTTAAATTTATGATATAAGTTTTTGTATAAATAATGATAAGTATTTTTAATTTATTAAGTAGAGCATAAAATGAAAAATGCTAATAATCAAATTATCTTATTTTCTGTGCTAAATATAAAAATTGAAAGATTTGGTACTTTTACTGTCATTAACTAAATATTTATTATTCCAATTTAGTAAAGAGCAAATTTATGTTTTACTATGACTAAAATTAACTTCCTGCCTAATAATTGCCATTAAAATCAGACAAACATTCATAATTTAACTTGTGTTGGGTACTGTAGGGATATTTTAATCCCAGACACTTTTCAAAGTTCTATAGTGTGGAAATGGTTAATTTTCCAAGATTTTTGCTCTATGTATTTTCTTTTGTCACTTCATTATATATACTAATGGAAGGAGACCTTACATTGCTTTATTGGTTTAAGATACTTTATGGTTTTTAAATATATGGACCCATATAGACACTACAGTATCTTTTGTGTTACATAGCATTTAAATTGGATTTTATGTTGTTCTTTAGAATAAAACTAGAAGTAGGTAATAATTAATTGTATAACTCATTGGGTTCTTGCTACTTACTTGTTCTTCTTGAATGTTTAGCCGGTTGCTAATATCTGAACTCAGCATATGTTGGCACGAAGCAAAATTGGCGTAGATTCGTGTTGGTCTAACTGGTGTCGACTTAGACCACGTGTCTGGTGTCTTTGTTCCGTTAACAAGATGAAATGAGGCACTAATCCAGGCAATAATTTGACTTTATTTTGACTGATACATGATACAGTAAGACCCTGCTTAACATGGGGGATGTGTTCCTAGATGACAAAGCGCTAAGCGAAACAGTGTTAAACGAGACCATTTTAACATAGTAAACAGAGATAGGGAAACACGCGACCAAAAAAAAAAATTTACTTTAATTTTAAGTTATTTTTATATTAATTTGTATAATAATATATGTTAAATAACACACAAACATATGTACACAGAAATGTATAATAATATATTAATTATTTCATTTTTTCTATATTAATAATTTTGTCACAAAAAATGTTCATTTTTTGTGACAAAAGTCCTGACTTTTCTGAAATTCTTGTTTTTTTGCATTGAAGTCGTGAATTTGTCACTTTTTTCTCTCCTTAAACAAATGTGGGTAGCAGAAGATTGCATCCAAAACGCCTCGTTTTGCTTTTGCACTCCTTTCAAAATCTAGATCATTCACTACAATTTGATCAACAATTTTGGTTATCGTTACCAAACTTTTACTAAGGAAATCTGTACAGAAAATTTTTGGGTTCTTCGTTTTCAGAATCTGTTTTCCAGTTCTACATGAATTCCTTGTTCTGCCAGTTCTTGAAGTCATCATTGGTCACCAGAAACCTGCAGTAACTCCCCAATATCCTGCTCGTCTACATCTCTTGTATTGATTAAGTTGACAATTTTGTCAATCTAACAATACAGTGATAGGCTCTTCTCGAACATTATTGGATACCTTCAGCCATAACTTCTTCCACACTCTGGTCATACATTTATCAGTTAATTCTTGCCAAGCCAAGTCGCTATTTCTATGGCATCCATGATGTTATATTTTTTCCAAAATTGCACAAAAAAACATGGATTTAAGGGAATTACAGCGCTACGACGAATTGCCACCTTTTGCTGATTGGTTCGTGTTTGGGAATAATCATATTATATATGAATCAATGGAAATAGATAAATAAATAAAACTCACGCCAAAATTGTATAGCTTCTTGATAAAAAGCACTGAGTTCAGCGTTAATACGATTTTTCTTACATTGAGATGTTGCACAAGTTTGAACTCGTTATGGTGGTCAGCTCCCAAAAATGTTGGCATAGAGGAAAAGGTGACTCTCCTCATTTAAGTCCAGGAGTAAAGTGGGGTCAGAACGAAGGTCGTGCGGTAGCGCCCTCTGCACTACACACTCCTCCAGTGGTTGAGCGAACAGTGTCTATAAAACATGCGAGTGGTTGAATAATGCACCTTGGTGCTGTTTGTTATCTTGGTGAGTTGATAATCAGTAGTTTTGGCTGTTCAACTTGATTTGGCAAATGGAGGTACAGGATGTTGACAGTCTGACAGTGTCAACATGTTCATAGGATGTTGTATTCCGGCAGTGGTTTCTTCGCAGAAATGCTGGTTTCAGCCTATCTGTTGTTATTCTTTTAGTAGAACCCATGACGTCGATGTTAAAAACTTGTCAAAACAGTGACGTACACAGTACGGGCCAAGATAGGCTGGTCGGAGTGTAGAATGTGCTGCTGGATTGAGCACAAAGACATATGAGCAGCTTGTCAGTCGTTTAGAGATGAAGGTTATTTGTTTCCATGTTGGGTTGTTGGTGACAGTCTCAGTATGCAAAGGAATTGTTGTAACTGTTGTATTGATTCCATTTTTCACTATTGCTGGAAATTCAATTAGAAGGTTATTCAATTGAAGATTATTGATATGCTAAAATTGTAAATTTGGGACTAGGAGTTTTGACAGAGGTGCGTGTGCATAGTGGTGTATTTTTGCCTTTCGACATTCTATGCATCTTCATGATCATGTCCGACAGTCTTTTTTCATATTTGGCCAAATGTATGTGTGTGTTCAGTTTGGATGTTGCACAAGCTCTTGGGTGTAACAAGTTGTGGATGGTTGAAAACACTTCTCGTTGAAAAGAAGGATGTATGTATGGTCTATAGTGGTTAGTAGAGATGTCGCAAAATGGATTTTGTTATATTTGGGAGGTACTTTACTATTTTGCAATTTGGATTCTGTTATAATTTCAACAGCTCGTCATCCTGTTGGGTGTCTGTCATGGCATCATAGTTGATGGATGTTATTCTGATGGTGTTTATATGACAGAGTCTGCTATGATGTCACTGCCAGATATATGGTGTAACTCAGCTGCAAAATCAGAATTACAATCTATCAATAATAGCAAACAGCTTAGAATC